TAGCCACCTCCTCAATGGGTAAATATCCCCCATCATATGGCATGGGTCTATAATCATGACTCCATCGCCCCCGGGGTCTTAGTCCTCCGACAGTATTATCCTCCAGCGGCGGAGAGACCTTGTACGCATCCGAGATCTGGAGCAGATAGATCTTATCCGCAGGCACCGAACGGGCGAGCTCGCACATGCTGGCTTCGAACCGCTCGCGCAGCTCCTCTTGAGGAACATTCTCAATCAATCCGGACTGGGTGGTCGGATCGCCCCATTCGCTGCCGGCTGTCTGGAACGTGTCGAGACAAAGTCCGACGTTCGGCTTGTCAACGGCTTGCACAACTTCCCAGGCATCTTTCCAGCCCGGTGCGTGCGTGGACCAGCACCAGTTCTCGTAGGCGAGCCGGAATCCGTGCTTGGCCAGCAAGTCGGCTAATTCGCGGAGATCAGCGACAATGGTGTCGCGCGCCGTGGAGATTTTGGAGGCAGGTGTATCAGTCGCGCCGACCTATATCCCCACAAACAATTCTCAACAACCAATCTTTTGAGGAGAAAAAAAAAGGGTACATACTTGCAATAAATCAGTTCCCACAATCTTCATAATCTCAATCCAGCCAAGCGCTCTCTTAAACGCATCCTGCCTCTCCGGCGAGCCCTTGGCCCAGCCCTCGAAATTCGAGAACGGCTGCAACATCATGACCTTCAGTCCATTCGCAACGCACAATTTCCGGATCTCCCCTGCAGCCGTCACAAGCTCCGCGTAGTTCTCTGGCTCAACGGAGTGGCCTAGCACGTGGGAGCCATAGTCGATTATGTCTGGGAAGGAGAGCTCGATGCCGACGAAGCCTGCTTGGGCGATTGCTTCAAGCTTGCGCGGGAGGGTGTCACTGGGGTCGCAGCCGATTGAGCAGGTAGCATAGGAGAGTGGGATGCATTGGAGGGAGGAGAATTCGATGTTGGAGGCCATCTTTTCGAATATGTTATTCCCTGGTGAAAGAATGGCCTGGTTGCGCGGCGCGGTTGCCACGAGATATTAGGCCAAATTGGCAATTGCAATTGCGATTGAGCTCCGGTGGAATACTGCGCTTCCTGTCTGGTGTTGATTGTGTTTCATTCTGCGTCCATCATGATGCAATGGGGTTGTTGTTAGGATTATTGACCATGTCGTCAATGTTGCATCATTCGTCTCATCAGAACAACCATTCTCCCATGCTTTGTATTTTACCCGGATGACCTGAATCATCCTCGGAGAAATGTTCCGTCCAGTACTCCGTGCCAGGATTCGCACCCATACTTGATGGTGGTCGCCTCTCAAGAAGTCTGATTAGCCGCCATGATGTAAACCGCTCATTGAGTACAGACAACAAGCCGGATTGCAGACCCGATTACCACCACCGACTATTTGCTCAAGAGATAGCCGCTCCCACTTGACACTGTGAAACGCTCTGCTCTCGGCTGACCGATCCTGCTATACCCTTGTGAAATAGCACCCCCGAACAAAAATATCCAAAATGTCACCCGCAGAGCCACTTCGGAGTTTCAAGCGTATTGGAATCGTGGGCGCTGGTAACATGGGCTCAATGATGACCTTTGCCTTCTCGGAGATGGGACTCGACGTCTCAGTCTGGGATGTGGAAAAGAAGAACGTGGACCAGATTATGGACTGGACCAAAAAAGCGAAAGACGTCAAGGGCAAGATCGAGGGTTTCTACAACATCGACGAGTTCACCAAGAGCCTTGAGGGTAAATCAGAACGAAAGCTCTTCATCTTCTCTATCACACACGGGCACCCCGCCGACTCGGTTTTGAGCATGATGAAACCGGACTTGAAAAAGGGTGATATTATTCTCGACGGAGGCAATGAGAACTACCGTCGGACTGAACGGCGCCAAAAGGAGTGCGCCGAGATTGGGGTCAGTTGGATCGGAATGGGTGTCTCGGGCGGATATCAGTCTGCACGGCATGGACCCAGTCTGTCTCCTGGTGGAGATGCCGAAGCGCTGGAGCTCGTCATGCCTCTGTTGGAGATGTATTCTGCCAAGGACCGCAAGACCGGCACGCCATGCGTGACACGGGTCGGCCCGGGAGGATCGGGGCATTTTGTCAAGATGATCCATAACGGCATCGAGGGTGGCATGATGTCGGTGCTGGCTGAGGCATGGTCCTTTATGCACCACGGGCTGGGGATGGACTACGACCAGATCGGAGATGTCCTGGCCAAGTGGAATGAAAGCGGCGAGCTGCGAAACAACTACCTCGTTCAGATCGGCTCCGATATGTTGAAGAAGAAGAGAACCGCCAAGGGCGACTACAAGGGCGAAGGCTCCAGCCGAGACAATGGTTACGTGCTAGATGATGTCCTCGACAAAGTGGTGCAGGATGATGATGGCACCGAGGGTACACCCTTCTGGTCAATCATGGACTCTGCAGCACGCCATGTGGCGTGCCCGACTCTCGCCGCGGCACATTACCTGCGCATCGCAAGTGGCAATCGCGAGGAGAGACTTCGCGCGTCCAAGAAGCTGCACATGCCTGTTCCCAAACCAATTGAGAAATCCCAGGACCACAAGAGCGTGATTGAGAACCTCCGTTGCGCGGTTTATTGTTGCTTCCTGGCGTCCTTTTGTCAGGGCCTGGAGCTGATTGCCCGTGCGTCCGACGACGAAGGCTGGGACATTGATCTCGGCCGATGTCTGCAGATCTGGCGTGCGGGCTGCATCATTCAGTCCGAGTACATTGCCGACCTGTTGCAACCTGCGCTGACATCAAACAAGCGTCTCACCAACATGAAATTCGTGGACGAGGTGGCGCGCGAACTGCACAAGAACTTTGATGCGCTGAAGGAGACCGTCATCGAGGGTACAATGTCGGACCAGTATATGCCCGCCATGTCGGCGAGCTTGGAGTACCTCAAGTATGAGGGTGGCATGGCACTGCCGACCAAGTTCATGGAGGGCCAGTTGGACTATTTTGGTGCCCATGCCTACAACAAGCCGGGTATTCCTGGTGAAGATCCGGGACCAGTCAAGAAAGGGCCCCATCATTACGAGTGGAAGCCAGCGTAAATTGGGAGAAGTGGTTGCAGATAGATCTAGCTGCACAAATTGTACACCTTACGTGGGACCTTTCCTTGGGAATGCCATTGCCGCCTTCTATAGATCCGATCTGTGGCTGCCTCAGGCATTCAGGGCCCACCCCGCCACTTGGTCTGCGTGGAAATTCGGGTCTTCACCACGTGTTTCGGTCGCAACTTCGTTCACTTTCCTCAATCTCAAAACGAGTCCGCGACCCAGTTAGCCCGCAGAATGACTGCTCTCCCTGATACCTACGATGGTGCGTGTATCCTGCCCGCTTCTTCCTCTCCAATGCCCCGCTTGGTTGATTTAGGCTGACGGTCCTCAATCTCACAGGCCCGGTGCCGATTGCTGTCATTGGCGGCACTGGTCTTCGCGAGCTGCCCGGCTTCACCCAAGTGGCCTCGCTGAACGTCTCGACGCCGTGGGGCACTCCTTCCTCCCCCATCACCATCCTCCACCACCAATGCCGACACAACAACAAGACCGTTGCCGTGGCTTTCCTCAGCCGGCACGGTCTGCACCACCAGATCGCACCGCATGAGGTTCCCGCTCGTGCCAACATTGCTGCCCTCCGCTCCATCGGCGTGCGCAGCATCATTGCCTTCTCCGCCGTCGGCAGTCTCCAGGAGGAGATCAAGCCGCGCGACTTTGTCATCCCGGACCAGGTGATTGATCGCACCAAGGGTGTGCGGCCATGGACCTACTTCGAGGGTGGTGTGGTTGCCCACGTCCCTTTCGGCGATCCCTTCGATGAGGGCATTGCCAAGATCGTGCGCGAGTGCGGCCACAGTTTGGAGGGTGACGGCGTGGTTCTGCATGACCGCGGCACCCTGGTCTGCATGGGTATGTGACATTCGCCCCATTGATTATCGAGTTGTCGCTAATAGTCCAACCTTCGATACAATAGAAGGACCTCAATTCTCCACCCGCGCCGAGAGCAACATGTACCGCTCCTTCGGCGGCAGCGTGATCAACATGTCCGCCCTACCCGAGGCCAAGCTGGCCCGCGAGGCCGAGATCGCCTACCAGATGATCTGCATGTCCACGGACTATGACTGCTGGCACGAGACCACCGCCGACGTCACGGTGGAGATGGTTATGGGCAACATGAAGGCCAACGCCGACAATGCGCGTCGCTTCGTGACGGCCGTTCTCGATGCCCTTGCCGAGGATGTGAACGTTAATCTCGTCCACGCCAAGCACCTGGCTGGCTCGATTAAGTTTGGTGTTAGCACGCCTCTGCCGCATTGGAGCCCTGAGGCCCGAAAGAAGATCGATTGGTTGTTCCCGGGCTACTTTTGAGGTAGACTGTTTATGAACGTATGGGTTTTCGGGGCTCTCTGGGTTTGTGGATACATATTTGATGAGTATATCTTCTTGATAGATATTTTATGGATAGAATGCCTTTTGTAGGGCAAATGAACATGGCATGACTATGACGGCAATCGGCCTCAGGTGTAATTCCGCTGTATGCTGCTAAATTTTCAACTGTCAAACCGGTTGAAATTCCATCCCTCACATGCCTCCCACGTTCATTTCTTGGTCCCATAGATCTTAGATTAAAGAGTCCCAGATTCCGCCAGTATCAGCCCTGTCATGCTCATCACTTCAAATGGCAGCTGGAAAGAGTTCCAAGCAGAGCCGCATAACTATGCTTCGATGAAACATGAAATCGGGTTTCCTAGGGTTTTGGAGCGGATTGGCGTTCACTTTCACTACGGAGATACATTTTACCATTTTCTCGCCGGAAAGGGCAATAAAACAGCATTCTAAACACTGAAGATAACCAGGATGTAGATTTTTTGACTCAGAGCATAAGTTTTCAGTTGACAATTTAGAGATAGCAACGGCCAAAGGTAGATAGATATTAGTGCATCAAAATAAACAAACAAGAAAGCAGTCTCTATAAAAGCATCTTCAATTATACCAACATTAATCCAAGCCCAAAAACAAAGGAAGGAAGCTGGCAGAGCAAAGCTGAATAGCGAGAGGAATGATCGCATTGTTAGCGTCCGAGTAGGGACCGGGTTTGATCGTCCAGCCCCAGGGAGCACCGACGGCGAAATATATCATAGCTAGACGATGACAGTGTCAGTATATCCGCAAAACAGTCGAGAATAAGATTACAAAAAGACCAAAAAAAAGAAGGGACAGCGAGAACATACCAGCTGAAATGATGAGACAAATTATCCAAGTCCACTTGAACTTCTGGACCATCTTCCCCAACCCAATGTAGAACCCAGATGGGCCGGGTTCTTTGGCGGTGGAGGCCCACTCAATATTAATACTGAAAGCGTGGCAGAGGAGAGCCTTGGCACAGTTCAAACTGATGCCGCTGAAGTAAATGATTAGGAATGGAAGCCACTTGATCGCATTCAACAGGGCCCTCCAGAAGGGCATTTCTTTCATCTGGTGACGGACCATGCTGAAGGCAATGGAGGCGAAGCCATTGAAGACAACTACCAAAGAGCACCAGATACCCCACGATGGAAGATAGTAATGGTCGATTTCGGAGTTGAAAAGACCGACTAGGAAGTAGTTGACAGTTGCCAACAGCATGCCCGCCGCAAGTGCATAGTCTGGGACGGGTTAGATCGGCTCGTTAGGCAAAATTCCAGATAGACTTACAAGTGAAAATGTAGGAGATGATGGTAACTTTGCTTGTGATTGGCATGTTACTCCAAAGAAAGCGCAGAAAGAGTCTCGTCACTGGACCCCTGTAGAACCATTGGTAGCTAAGTCTAGGTGTTAGCAAGCGACATCTTGATAGGCTGAGCAAAGCTAGTATCACTTACAAGGGATGGAAGACCAGCTCATTACAACCGTAGGCATACTTCTCCCACCGATTCAACTCGTCGTATAGAGTGAGAGACACGCCTTCCTTGAAGCCACCGTTGTGGTAAGTCGCCAGACGGACCAACATGCCTTGCATCTGTAAGCGAAGACTGATATCAAAATCTTCCGAGACATGTGCATCAGACCACCACTTGGTCTGGCCGTCTTTAGGATCGACAAATTCAACACTCTGCAGAGCCTTCCATCGAAGAAAAGCATTGTGACCCACAAAGGGAGAAACATCTCCACAGCCAACGCCATATTTGATGGCAGTGTAGACGACGTTTGTGAAGTATGCAACTATTGAAATGGTGAGACCGGATGGAAATAAACCAAGACTGGAGAAATGGAAGACACGTACTGCCGTTCTCGAACGTGTTATGAACAACTTGCATAACACCTGATCCATGCTGGAGAATCGCCACTTCAGGACTCTCGTGCATCTCCAAGGCACCGTAGAGAAGACAGTCAACAGGCACTCGAGTATCGCAATCAATGCTGTAAGAATGATTAGTTACTGAATGAATATACTGCAGCATGGACTTACAGTAGGATAATCTCGCCGATGCGGATATTGCCCTCGGCCCCTAGGGTTTGTTAGTAGAAGTTCCAGGAGTTGTGTTTTCAAAAACTGACATGTGCGACCTTCATCAGCAGCGAGCATGTTGTTGAGCGCCTGCTGGTACAGATGATCATCGTCTTCATCCGTGAGATCCTCCATGGCACAGCCTCGCTGTTGGATATTTAATTGTGTGAGACGGGCTAGCTCATCCTCAACGCGGTTTGAGAAGGCAAGACCGTAGTTCATGTTGCTAGCCTTCTTGAATTTGCCCTTCCGTTCAAATCCAATCTCGTTAGCCAAGGCTTGAGGCAGACCATCGTCTTTCTCAGTCTCCGGGTCCTCGCCAGCAGGCTTGGATTTGCGGAACCATCCCAAGCATGACCGGCTTTGCTTTTTTGTTTTCTTGCTTTTCTTGTTTGGCAAACGTGCAGTGTATCCAATTCCGTTTTCTCGGTAGTACTGCTTTCGAGCCTCTGCGAGTTCTGGCTGGATGCACTGCATGCCGTCATCATTGATAAAGACAGAGGCGGTGCCACCTTGTTCTTCGTAGTATTCGACGGCAGCAAGGACGCTCATCATTGTTGGCACAATGACACTATACAGTTCGAATTAGTATGTAAAGGCGAACGAAGTCAAGCCAGCTTACCCTTTGAGGCCTTCCTTATAAACAGGCATTTGGATTGTAACATGGGGCAGCTCATAGTCTCGGTGTGCCTTGGGGTTGGGTTTGATGGCCGAGTGAAACTTGGAGTTCTTGAGACAAAACCCAGCTGGGAGAAAGATCTGGAAGACACTGGTGACCAACACGATGAAAAAGAACTAGGAGCTGTCAGTATACTCCAGAATGAGATAGAAAAACCTCATACCAATGAAAATAAACCAAGTGGCGGGATTGTCGTGACCTGAAGATCTCAATAAGCGGCTAGATCAAAATGTAAAGAAGCGAAGAGCCTACCAAAGCAAAACGGATGTAACTACCATCCCAACTGTATTCATTTATCAACTGCGGGCAATAGTTAGTCAGATGCACAAAGATAAGGCTCTAAAAATCTCACTCTGGATATGCCAAGTGCTTGTGTCACGATAACCAGCATGATTGCCAGACTGATCTTGAAGGCATGAACTCGGAGTGTCGGTCTGGGAGCCGAGTTGCTTTCCAAATCAGGCGTGTCGTCGTTGGTCTTTTCTTCCAATGCGACAGCTCTGCTATAGACCTCGTGCTTCTCATCGAGCGCGCCTCGAACAGAGCAAATGTTGCTGTCGGCCTTTGTTGATCGTAGCATATTCGAACCGTTGAAATCCATTGGGGAAGAACGCCCGGAGATTCGAGGAGTGGTCGATGTCGAAATTCGAGGGCCCTGGTAGTTACCATTATGGTTAGCAGTACGTAAAAAGAACCCGAGGTAAAAAGACTCACTTTTCCACCAAGTTGTTTCTCAACATCATACGCCACGTTTAGGATAACACTTGCATCATGAGACCAGATTAGGACCACGCGCTCTTGTACAACAATGCATGCTCTTGAGAGATGAACCAACGCTGGGTCCACGTCGTTTAGAGAGGCCACAATTGGGATACGTGCACTGGTGCTGTCGACAATAAGACTTTTCTGACCTGGAGTGATAGTGTCGATTATGGCGGTGGTCAATCTGGAAGACATGGCCACTGCAGCCGTTTCGTTCAGCCTGGAAATCGCATCTGCCAGCAGGGGAGACACGTCTGCGGGAAAGAAGGAGTATCCTTGATCTGGGATCTTCACTGCGACGCAAGTCGAAGACCAGCCTTGTGACTGAGAATTGCCTTGGGCCTCGTCGAACCAACCGAGAAGGGTTGCTCTTCGAGCCAAGTACCGTGACATCTGTACAAAGTTAGTCTTGCCGTGAAGTGAGCCAACTCGAGATTCAGTCAACACATACCGCGATAGGATCATCATCTTCGTCATTTTCAGAGATTGCGTGCGAAACCAAGGAATGAGCAACAGATGGTGTCCCTCGTCGGGAGCGCGAGCTTGCGCGCGGAACAACCGTGGGAGACAAGATTCGTACGACCTCAGCAGTAACTAGAGGAGGAGTTGACGATCGAGACATGTACGCAACTTCAGTTCGGCCTTCAGACTCGAATGAGTCTTCACCTACTGGAAGCGGCCAAGTTTCTGGCTTAGTTGACCCATTGGAAAGGTCGCCGTCTTGCGGATTGACATCCATTGTAAACCGCACTGTGTTGAGAAGAGAAGTGCACGAGGTTTGTCAAAGAGATGCGCTGACGGACATCAAAAGCCTTCTTTCGTATCTCACAGGCGGGACAGGTGGGTAAAAAAGGAACTCGGACTTCAAGGATATACACAGATAGGAAATCGTGAACGAGGAAAAAAAGTAGAAGATACCGACAAGGACAGCACCCTTGGTCTAGACCTGAGCATACAAAGAGGCAAACCGGCGGGCATCGCCGATACATTTGATTTAGAGCATAACAGGCGACACGCTCGTGTCAACAAGCACTATCGAATGTGGCACTTGCAGGTTGTGCTGAATCAACTCTCGCCTCTATAGGAAAGGCCCAATCGTCGAAGAGGATAGCATCACGGCCGTATGATAGAACGGTGCCTTAGACATTGTGGATCAGGCTGGAATCCGGCTGGTCCACGAACACACGTTCGGTTTTTTTTTCGCGTAATTGAGCTTGCCTTGGGTGTTTGGTAGAATCTAGTCTCGGTCACACCGAGTTGACAGCGCATAGGAGTAAGCGCTATGTGAGCCATTCAGCTCGGCGAAAGGTGTATCTGGAGCTGTGCGAACAGACGCCACGGGTAATTTCGGGCGAGCCTGAAGCGCCCTGGTTCTTTTGTTCGGAAACCCCTGGAACTTTAGCCGGGACAGATGCCTTACCGGGTTGTGATTGATGCTCGGGTTGTGATTGGTGCTCGGATATATCACCCTGGCGGACCGACCCAGGTGGTCTAGACTGAGGCTGACCGTACTAGCGGCCCGCAACTTTGAGCTTGTTCTTTTCATGTCCTTCCAAAACCGGCAGTGCGTGATAACAGGCCTATTTTTGGCTGGTGAAGATAAGTGATTTATTTTGGCCAGACAGACTTGCAGCTTTACAGAAAAGTCGAGCATGCATCATTTTAACCGACACCATGGAAAGTTTAGCATGCAGAAAAACCTTATCAATATTGGGAAAAGAACTAAAGACTAAGAAAGAAATCTGGAGCGGTCAACACGCTCCCTGCTGCCACATTCGGACAGATTTGACGATCATGGCCCGGTTCTCGGGCTCGCCCCAACTTGGCAGCCAGGTACTATTTGCCAGCCAGAAGTCTCGTGCAGGAGTCTTGCTGCCATCCGTCCATGGCTTGCCTCCGACACCATCTCTGGAAGATAGGAGTAAATTATTAACTGCTGTTTAAGAATATCGAGATGGGGCAAACTCACGGGAAATATCCATTGGTTCCGCCCACACCGACATTGAGAATAAGATAAAATGGCTGGTCAAAGGGTGTGTTGTCTCTGCCAGTCTGCCAGGGGTTGGTCGGTGTAGAGCCGCCGTCCACAGTATCGCCGGCAAAGTCGCCATACGTCCACAAATTCTTGTTCTTCTTAAAGTTGAAGAAGAGAACTTGCTGCATTGACACCAAAATATTAGCATTGGCATAACCCAGTCGATAATCAAGAACGTACTCGCAGACGGCCATCAAGCCAAGTAAAGAGGTAGTCCTCCGACCACTCCAGACCAAAGGTGTGAAAGCCCTCGGAGTACTTGGTTCTCTTGGCACCCCATTCGCCATAGCTTTTCACGTACGCGTCATTCTCGTATGATGTGCCCCAGTGCATTGCTGAACTGACAATGTTGTTTCCTAGTGGATATGTTTGCGCATCGTTGCCCCTGCTTTCAGCGATATCGATCTCACCGCTAGCTGGCCAGGGGCCATAGACACTATCCTGAGGCATCATCCTGCATAAGTAAGTATGTGTACATCCCTTTAAAAATACGAGGACAAGGTGAAGCATACCAGATAGACGGCCACAGCCAATCGCCAGCCGGTAGTTTTGCGACCACTTCCACCCGGCCATACGTGATGGTTTTCTTTCCGAAAGTAGTAAGACGGGCAGATTGAACTGGATTGATAATATCGCCCTTGGTCGCATTGCTGTGGACTGCACATTCCGAATTCTGAGCATTCAGGTTCGATACCCGTTGGTCTTTCGAAGTGCACGTTCCAGAAGCAGTCAAGTTGACAGTGTACCCGTTCATCAGCTGGTCAGGTGTGATATTCGTACTTTCAGTTGTCAGGGTCGGCAAGATATGGAGGCCGTCGGAATCCACAAATGAATTCTTCGAGTCCGCAGTAGTCCAGTCGAATGAACCAGTTCTAGAATGCAATGATTAGATGGGGGACAACCCCGGTGGAAGTTGTCTACTTACCCGAATCCATTAAGCTGAACTTCATGGCTCCATATATCTAGATTCAATGTGGAGAAGTCATCATCGAGAATTAAACAGTACTATAATTTGATCATTAGAATATTATTTCGAGTCCGATCTCTCTAGAACAAACAAACCTCGTGCTTCGGAACGGTAGCGTAAGACGAATAGCAGATGTAAGCCGAAGCCGCTGGGTAACAGTTACCAACTGAAAGACAAAACCTTCTCATGGGACATTGTACTTACCAACTGCGATAGCGACGCCGGTATAGAAAATAATGCTGTCCCAGTTTGGGATTCGCTTGCTAGTTTGAAGCCAGGGCTTTTCAAATCTAAGACAGTCAAGTAAGCCACGGCGACTCGCAAAATGAAGGATGATGCTTACTCGCCAATCAGGCGCGAGCTCTTGAAGCGACGCCGAGGACGAGTTGGTCCAGGTTCTTGTAGTATAGTTAGTAGCTAGTTTCTATGCAACAGAGACTGCATACCTTGAACTTCGGATACGGCTGATGATGCTGGCCTGCGCGACCGAATGGACCGAATGGATGGAATCGGGGTCGCAAATGGCGGAGTTGCGAAAGGATTCTGAGGAACGTGGAAATGTTCCGGAGTGTCTGCTCGGTCCATGATGTTTGATGTTTATGTCAAGCTCTGAACTGCTTTTTTTTTTTTTGGTCGACTGAGAGTATACAACGGCGAGAAATGTAAATTGTCGATTCTACCAGGAATCATGATATAAGATAGATCGTGGCAATCCATTTTTTGACTACGCCTCCCGACCGATCCAGATTTTCGCTCTGGCTATCGCCGATAAGTGAAGCCTGATGCCTTTTTTGTTTTGTGGTGACGCGCGAAGGAATCCGGAAGAACCAGCCGAGCGGTGAACACAGCGTGGCGTGGTCGGTTTCGGGAGTACTAGAACCGCTCGGTAATGACAAGAAAAGCCGAGCACCCGGAGTGATTGGTCCAGGCCAAAGGCGTGGCTAGGAACCCGATTTTCGCTGGGATCTACCGGAACCCGATTGGCCCCACCGAACCTATCGCATAAAAAAACCCTATTTCCTTAGGCTATTTATCGACAGTTGCCGTGCAGCGCGTAGCTCCGGTATACTGCGAGCCGGCCGAGTCTTCTCCGATGACGTGTCTAGTTGGATTTTCGATTTTGGAAAGATGGGTTATTTTTGCAGAAACTTAGGCGATAAGCACAAAGAAAAATAGCCGGAACCATGAGAGAAGCACACTGACCATTGATTGACCCGGTTGCAACTTAACTACCTAGCTAGCTCTGAGATCTACAGCGAAGAATGACGAAATCTGCACGAGGCATCTATGTACTAGTCTGCCTTATATGCCATGGATATATTTAACTTATCTCTGCCAAATAGAATGGACATGATTCTCAAGCAAAAACATAGCTTGCTACAGACCGGTGTCACCGATAGCGAGAACTTGACTTATTGGGCTGACATTGACGAGGCTGCCAGGTACCAATTCCTCGAAGGCAACGGCCGGTATTTCCGTGACCAGGCATCTCCATGGTGGCTTGACACGTTCTCAGATTCTCGCCAAAGAAGCTCATTGATAGGCCAGTGAACTCCATCTGCACAGTCGAATTGGCAGGGGAGCTGAAGGCAAACTTAACCAGGCGGAGCCATCCCAACGGATATTTTTAGCGGCACTAAGAACCTGTTCTATCGGGTATGGTGGAACTGGTCGCGCTTATGGCTTCAGCCCTTGAGCGCCTTTCTGGCGTCGCTATTAGATTTTGACTCTGGGAGAGGCATGGAGACTCCGAATACTTGCTGTGGTCTCTGCCATTCCGACAGGATTTACTGTATGTCGAGGCCCACTACTATCATTTCACAGATATATGCTGACTATCCAATAGGCCGCTTTGATCCGAGACAATCAGTCTCCAATGATGGACTTTGTGGTGCATACAACGGTACCACTACCTGCTCCGGCAGCATCTATGGCACCTGCTGCAGCAAGATTGGATGCTGTGATAGTGAGACCGACTACTTCGGATCCAGCTGCCAGAATGTCAACGGCACCTGCGGAGCCAATACCACTCTAAGCTGGTACAGCCTGGGGTGCTACTCCGACAACACTAACGCTCGCGCCCTGAACACCTCCGTTCTCGTCACCGGCCACACCGTCAAGGCATGCCAGTCAGCATGTGCTGCTGGAGGCTCTACTTTGGAAGCCAGTGCTACTGCGGTACCGCCATCGAGAACGACTCTGGACCCATTGATTCCTCTAGTTGCAATGCGGCATGCGCAGGAGACAGCAGCGAGATTAGTGGCGGAGCGGACGCTCTGAGCCTGTATTTCATCGTGCCTATCTGGCAGAGCGTGGGATGCTACTCCGACACCACTCTTAAACGCACTCTGGCTATGTCCTACAATATTGGCGGTAATACCGTGGAGAACTGCCAGGCAGCGTGCAAAAAGGACGGATATATCTATGCCGGCATGGAGTTTGGCACTCAGTGTTTCTGTGGCAATACTATCGACAACGGCGGTGCTCCTACCTCTGGCTGTGGAACCCCATGCCCGGGCGATGCTTCTGAGACCTGCGATGGAGCCAATGCTCTAAGTTTGTACTATCTTTTCGAGGACTCTGAGCCCGAGGAGAAGAAGTAGTGCGTCACTTGTTTTGGTCTCTCTTTTGCTTTCGAGCTACTGATCAATTTAATATTCTCTTGTTGCGGTGGACTATCATATGTGTAATGCTAATGCTATAAGTTGTTTATCTATTTAAATTTTGCGTACTGAAAGGGAAATAAAGGTCACTGGTAGGCCTAAGCATCTCGCCCGCGAATCGATTTGAAATCAATAGATTTGGAAATCAAGCGCTTTCAGCTTTCATGTCCTCTTCAGCCTGGCTCTTAACAATCTCCCTGACCTTCTGCCATGAGTTCTCTACCTCGGTCACGCGTGTTTCCATGGTGAGGAGAGTCTTGAACTCGTCGGGCAGAACCTGCTTGTCAAAATCGAAGCCGGGCTCATCCTTTAGAGCCTGTTCCACAACATCAGAGAACTTGGCCGGGTGGGCAGTTGAGAGAGAGATATGATGCTGTTGCGAGCCAACCCGAGCGACCGATCGGTTCGCGGCGGTAACTGCCACTGCCGAGTGGGGATCAAGGATGTATTTGGTCTTTTGGTAGCACGACTTGATGGTTTCGATGGTCTCCGCATTGCTTACGCGGTCACTCTCAAAGGTTGATCGTCCGTTGTCCAAAATCTCCTTGGATACGGGACCGAAGCCGCCGGTGGTTTTCAAGGACTGATACCAGGCTAGGACGTCTTGGGCAGCTTGCTTTTTGCTAGCTTGATCATCCATGCCTCCCTTCGCGGCAGATTCTCGGGCGAGGAACCACATGAGTCTCTCAAAGTTGCTAGAGACTAAGATGTCCATTGCCGGGCTGGGGGTTTCCTTGCAAGCGTCCTCATTCTTCTCGTATCGGCCCGTCGTCCAGAAACGATGTAGGATGTCGTTCTCGTTGGTCGCCACTTCTAGCTTTTCCACGGGCAACCCCATCTTAGCGGCAAAGTAGCCCGCGAGGATGTTGCCAAAGTTTCCAGTGGGAGTCACGAATTTGACCTTGTCTCCTAGCTTGAACGACGGTGACTTCTTGACAAGCTGGAAGTAGGCATAGAAGTAAAAGACGATCTGGGCGAGAATTCTGGCAAAGTTGATCGAGTTGACAGCACCGAGCTTCAAGGACGCGTTTGTATCAGCATCGCCAAATAGAGCCTTGACGATGTCCTGGCAATCATCAAAGGTGCCCGTGACCGTAAGATTGTGAACATTCCGGTCTGTACAGGTTGTCATCTGGGCCTCTTGGATGGCGCTGATGCGCCCCTTGGGGTACAAGATGGTTACTGAGACATCCTTCTTGCCCCGAAGACCATAGATGGCTGCGGATCCGGTCTGTCTCATATGTTAATACGAAGTCTGATCCAAGATGCATCATAAACGTACATCACCGCTTGTAGCGCCGACCACCGTCAGATGGTGGCGGTCCTTGCCGGTTTTCCCCTTATTTTTGCGGACCAGGAAAAATTCAAAGAGGTTACCCAGGCACTGCAAGGCGCAATCCTTGAAAGACCAGCTTGGACCATGGAAGAGCTCAAGAAGGTGAATGTTGTCGTCCTGTAGATGTACCAGAGGTGTAATGTCATCGGCGCGGAATGTCGAGTAGCTGCGATCAATGATGGCCTTCAAGTCGTCCGCGGGGATCTCGGAGCGGGAGATATAGAGGCTGAGGATTTGGAAGGCTGGGAAAGGTGTTAGATGTAGTCATTCGGGCATACAACTCATACGTACCGAGCTCTTGGTAGGAGAGGTCTGCCCAACTCCGCTACACCGCCGTTAGCTCTCGTTTTTCTCCAATGGGACAATTGATACCTACCCAGTCCTCTGCAATTGGGACTTCATGGGGCAAGAACAGACCGCCGTCCGCGGCGAGTCCCTTCAAGACCACGGTCTCGAAGGACAGCTGGAACCAGATCAGCAGGTGGTCAAGGAGTCACACAGTATCACTCACGCCGTAGTCGCCGCCTCTGGTCGAGAGATATTGCTGAGATTCAGTCGCCATGATGGTGCAATTGTCCGAATAATCGATCTCTTGTCTGTTCTCACCGCGAAGGTTTTTGCCCCTCGGACGCCGGCATCGGCCGTGACTCAACGGAACATCAATTGTCCGGTCCAGTCAACAGCGAGTCGAGCTTCCTCGCCAGGATCTGTGAACGAGTGTTCGTAGTAATTCTTAGATCCTATCTCCCACGAAGAACAATTGCCACGAGCTCACCTCAGAATTCCTTTTGGTTGAAATAGTACTAGAATCCCATCCTAGAGGCATGAAGATATATAGCGGGGGACCCGTACAACCCCACCTTCACCGCTTTCACACTTCCATGCCGGGACAATATCGACTGTAGCAGCAACTACTTGGCAATGTATGTCAAAGATGTGATCGTCGGTCTATTAGAGAGGTCCATTACGGGGGACGCTTCGAATCTTTTGATTCGGAGTTGAGCCAGGGCGAATTCGGGCAAAGAGACGTGTAATTGGCCGCTGGCCGAATCTATTTCCTCGACCTTCTTGAATGGGTTAAGCTTGGTGCTATCGGCGAGCTGCCGACGGGTTTGGCCTGACTATCGCGAGCGGCTAACTTCGTCGGGCCACGGATTCCCCTCAGTACAATTATTTGGTTTGGGTATAAATGAACGGCGGGGGAGAGATATTTTGTTAGAACAGATCGACCCTACCGCGAACACCCCTGTAACCTAACCGCAAGACAACGGCCATGATGGGCAGCAACAACAGATATCGCATCGGTGTGGATGTAGGAGGTGAGCGAAGAACATCTGCAACCAAATAAAGAAAACGCAAACTAACAAAAGAGATCAGGCACCAACACCGATGCCGTCCTCATCTCCCTCGATCCGGTTTCTATCGTCGCGTCTCACAAAGCGCCAACTACCCCGGATGTCACGACGGGCATCATCAATTCCGTTCGTGAAGTGATCAATGCGTCAAAGGTGTCTCTTGATTCTATTGGGTGCGTCATCATCGGTACGACACACTTTGTCAATGCTGTCATCCAGCGCTCGGCAGCGCTTCGCCGCGTTGCTGCTGTACGACTATGCGGCGGTCCGGACGAGGGCTTTGGGCGCAACATTCCACCGTTTGTCGATTTTCCGGCCGACTTACGAGCGTGCATCGAGACGCCTCGCAAGTACTTCTGCAATGGCGGCTATCAGATCTCCGGTACTGAGATCAGCCCTTTAGACGAAGCGGAGATTCGTCGTGTCGCGGAAGAGCTAGCCAAAGACAAAATTTCTAATGTGGTTATCTCCGGAATGTACGCTCCGTTGAACCATGCGCAGGAGATGGCCGCTAAAGATATTATGGAGAAGACTATGGCGGAAAATGCCGGGTTTAAGCCACGGATTACTCTATCTCATCAGGTATCTGGATTGGGATTTCTGGCTCGCGAGAATGCCGCCATTCTGAACGCCACTTTGCGGCCTCTGGCAGAGACGACGATATACGGATTCCAGCAAGCCATGGAAGATATCTTCCAAGGAAACCCCTACACTCTCTACCTGACGCAAAATGATGGTAGTGTTCTCGGTGCTTCCGAAGCAGTCGAGCTACCTATTCGCACGTTCAACTCAGGCCCCACAAACTCTATTCGTGGTGGAGAGTTCCTCTGGCGCACTGCAGAGAATGCAGACAACCAAAGTAAAACACGAACAGAGCCTTTGGTGGTCATTGATATCGGAGGAACTACATCCGACAGTGGATTGCTGCTTCCAAATGGTCTACCTCGGATGAGTTCTGTCATGAGCTTGGTGGGAGGTGTCCGCACGAACTTTGCACTTCCAGCCGTGGAAAGTATTGGTTTGGGTGGTGGTACAATCATCAGAGACCTGGGTAATGGAGAATTATCCGTGGGACCGGATAGCGTGGCTCTCGAACTCCTCCAGAAAGCACGGCTTTTTGGCGGGTCATACCTCACTTCCACCGACATCGTTGCTGCATCTGAGCTTCACATGCCGACTGGGAATAGTGCCTTCCAGGGAATGGGTGATCCGAGCCGTCTTGCAGATATTACTCCTGAGGTGGTCAGCAACGCTCAGATGCTCATGCGACAAAAGATCGAGGAGCTCGTGGACCGAACCAAGATCCAGAAGGGCGATGTCGACGTCTTGATTGTCGGTGGTGGTGCGCCGATTGTCAACACCAAGGAGCCGCTCGTCGGAGTCCGCATGGTGCGAACTGTCAAGGGGGGCGAAGTAGCCAATGCAGTTGGTGCTGCTATCTCACGGGTGTCGGGTGTTATTGATACCGTTGTCGATACGTCGAACCGTACACTCAAAGAGGCACAAGACTCCGTTTCTCAGTTGGCGATTGAAAAGGCCATCGAGAATGGAGCCAAGAAGGACACCATCCAAGTCGCTGAAGTTACCATGTTACCTATTCAGTACGTGGATGCGAAAGCTCGAATCTTGATACGAGCTGTTGGACAACTGGATGTTGTTTCTCAGCAACAAGAATCGACGAAGCTCATCAACGCACCCATTTCGGAGGAGTCTGATGAAACTGCAAACATATCCGTGTCGAAGACAATTTCGCAGCTTGAAGCGGAGAAAGTGGATATCCAGACTTACCGACCTCAAATCAATGACCAGCAATGGATTATCTCCGCCACAGATCTCGATTTCATTGCAGAGGGCTGCAAAATTCTGGGCTGTGGCGGTGGAGGCGACCCCTACCAGGAGTATCTCAAAGCAAAAGCCATTATCCGCAACTCACCTGGTAAAGTCAAAGTGGTCTCGCCCGAATATCTCCCAGATGACTCGCTGGTAGGCTGGACCGGCAACATGGGTAGTCCAGAAGTGAGCGCGGAGAGGCTAGAAAGCAACGAATGTCTGCAAGCGCACGACGAGCTCATGCGAGTCACGGGAAGCCCACCTGTCTCCGGGTTTCTGGCGCTCGAGATCGGCGGTGGAAACGGCGTTGTCAATCTCGGTGTTTCCTCCCATTATGGCGTGCCTTGCGTCGATGCCGACTATATGGGTCGCGCTTATCCGACTTGCTGGCAAGTGACTCCGAATATATATGGGTCATCCAGAGGCGAAGCCCTCGTACCGACTACTATCGCCAGCGGAGATGGGTCGTTTATCACGATGACCAAGTCTCGCACAGACAAGCTGGTTGATAAGTCGCTGAGGGCTGCCTGCGTGGAGATGGGCTGCCGCGCTGGGAGTGCCGGCCCGCCGAAGACTGCCAAAGTGGTGAAGGAGCAAGCGGTCACGAATACTATTTCATTGGCCTGGTGGATCGGGCGAGCAATCGCATTGGAGAAGAACATCACCGACAAGGCTCAGCGTATCATCGATGAAGTTGGTGGCCCGGAAAGCGCCGCCATTCTCGGCGAGGGAAAGATCACCAGCGTCTCTCGAGTCCTCAAAACAGGCCATACCTATGGCGTGTTGGAAGTGGAAGGCACTCTTCATGATGGAACAAAGGCAATGCTCAGTGTTCCGTTCAAAAACGAGAATGCTTTTGTCGAAGCTGTCACTGCTGACGGCGAAAAGAAAGTTCTGGCAGCCGTTCCCGACCTGATCGCCGTGATCGACGCGGAAACGGGTGCTGGATTGGGCACACCGGAGTACAAATATGGCCTTAAGGTGGTCATTATTGCCATTGCAGCTTCACCAAGGTGGACTGATACGAAGAGAGGTATGGAGGTGGGCGGACCAGGGTCAATGGGCTTTGAGGAGATCGAATATGTTCCAATTGGGAAGTACAGCAAGCCACGCAGTGTGATCGATGTCTTTGGTTGATATCTGGAGTACGTACAAACTTTGCTATCCATGTATTAGAAATTATTAGACTTCGAAATATACGTGCGCACTAGATACAGAGTCCGATTGGGCAAACCCAGTAACAAAAAAGCTGCTCTCATTGAACACTTGGAGCATGCACAGGAGTAACAGCAATCAATCAATCCCTCAAGGCTTCAAAGTCTGCTTGAAGCGATGAACATATCCCATCGACGAATGAATCCTCCTCCTCTGGCGGCATACCCAAGGCTCCAGCTTGCCAACTTACCGCACACACCAAGCTACCTCCCTTGACACTGATGATGTTAAACACAAGCGGTGCGCTGGGAACATTTGCGGGCTGCACAAACACCATCTTGCTGATCTTGTATTTGTGACTTGCATCGCCATCAGCGCCATCAAAAGCAAGTAAGTTGCTCACTTCGTACGAGCCATCCCGCGGCTGCCCGACCTTTCCCAGCGTCCAATTTCTGATACTGGGGGCGTATCTCAGCAGGCCAATTGACTGGTCCTGCAGCCTTGTGGCGCATTCCGCGAACTTCGTCGTCATCGAGCTTGCAGCTGCCCACATCTCGTCCGTCAACGTAGGCGTTACGTGTATTTGACGCGGAATTACCTCATAATGGCCGGATACAAAGAGACCCCAGGTGTAGCCCGGGGTGCCAATAGATCCTCGCATATCAACAGCCGTCTGTGAAACGAAATTGGTTATGTCACGGTTGGGAATGGCCTTGCTTAACGCGCGAACAATCAGCTGATGCACTGTTGCGGTGAGTTTGGCATCATGGCTTCTCGACACCCGCAGAGCCTTTTGCAATATCGGAGCCTCGATCTCAAGGAGTTTCACTTTGCTGTTGAAGGTGGCCGGGTCGAAGAACACGCGCGAGCCCGTCCAAGAACCGGCATTGACTGTGCTGGCGGCTGCGCGGAGCCCAAGGATTCCGGCTAAGAATTTTGGCAAGTATACCGCTATCAATGGCCCAAGGAGAAATTTCCAAGATATGGGAAGTCTTTCCGGTGTGTCAAAGGGTGCCGGAAGAGTTCGAGTTGGTGGAGTCACTAAGAAAGACCTCTTCTCATCCGTAGTGGTATTTTCTCGCCATGCGTCTAGAAAAGCGCGATGAAAAGCAGGTCCGACCATGCCGTCCCCAAGAGTATGAGAGAACGCAAAAGCTATAAAGCAGCGCGTCACTGAGGAGTCATCCAGCGTCGTCAGCGGGAGGACGACGATTCGCCAAGGTGGAATATCAGCAGGCCATGGCCGGTCGAGTATTGGTGGCAGGATCTTTTGAAGAGTTGCCATCTCCCCATGACTATCGTTGTCATGGATTATAGAGATATGGTCCTCGAGATTAACACTCGAAACTCCTTCGTAGGTTGGCTTTTCGGTATGCTTGTCCTTGACGACCACGCTAAGGTATGGGAACGTCAGGATGCAGTGCTCCAGGGGTGGAATGAAGGTCTGAGCCGAGTTCACGTCTATATCTTGACCCGCAACCTCGTAAATTGCTGCAATGACGAGCGCATTGTAGAAACCGAGTTCTTCGCGACTAATTGTGCGGCGCTCATTGGGACCTGCATTTCCATTAGCGTTGCAGATGTACCCCTGCATACAAAGTGGCCACTAACTTGCGAATCTCATGAACATCTTTGGCTGCGACCGCTGCGAGGTTGCCTAATTGACTGATTTTTACCCCGTGCTGTAAGCCGCCAGTGCAGCTGGTGGCTAGCGCTGACTGAGCCTGTGGATCGGCTGCCGCGTCCCGAGTAAGGCACCCGCCCGAGAAGTGTTTGGGGAGGGGACCTGTCTGTCCCTGACACCAGCGGAAGATGTGGATCTGAAGAAGATCTATGGGAACAGGCGCTGGAATTGAAACGTGAGTTTGACCGGAAGAATGTCTTCAAGTACAGTCTCACTCAGTTGGATGTTGAGCAGGGTAGAGTTTCTAGAAAATAGTATTCTCCTATTGCTTCCTCAATTGCTTCTAGCAGTCACGGCAACGGTGGAGTCTGCCTCGCAACATCCATTATGGATTCAAGTACAATGAAGTGTGGAGATGAGGCGCTATGGCGACTCCATACATTTACCCCAGTGAGTTGCCCTAATAATTAAACTACACCCTCGATTGTCGCGAATTCGATATTTTCTCGGCCGTGAATAAGGTGGCTAAGCATAAATTGCCATTTGTGTCATCAGTACTGGCCCGGGATTTTCTCTCGCCTCCCCCGGAAGTGGCAGCCACTCCCAGCTTTTCCTCCTGAAGCTCCCGATCGCATCGGTGGCGCCCGGGGAGAGTCCACGTGACTTTGATTTTTTCGGGGCGTAAAAAAGTCATCCGCCCCCCCCAAATAATCTTCAATTTTATCTCTTCCATACCGTCAAGCTTTTATTCCCAGCTCCATCACATCAATAGAGCTTCTTTCCCTCCGTCACATTTCGTCCTTGCGACTTCTTTTATTCCGACCCTCGATCTCCTCTTCACATATATCCGATGGATCACTCAAGAGACCCTTGCCCGTGGGTCGCCCTCAGCGACTTCGGCGGTGCTTTCTGCATGGGTGTATGTCTCGCCAACAACCGCGTTTTCAACCATCCAAGCTAATTCAGATGCAGGCGATCGGTGGTGCAGTCTGGCACGGTGTCAAGGGCTTCCGGAACAGCCCCTACGGTGAGCGCCGGATAGGCGCCCTCACAGCCATCAAGGCTCGCGCTCCTGTGCTCGGTGGAAACTTCGGCGTGTGGGGTGGACTTTTCTCGGTAAGGAAGGACGCGCGACGCAGTTTTGAGGCCGTTGTCTAATAAATAATCAGGTATTCGACTGCACAGTGAAGGGAATCCGCAAGAAGGAAGACCCTTACAATGCAATCATCGCTGGTTTCTTCACCGGTGGTGCTCTGGCTGTTCGTGGTGGTGTCAAGGCTGCTCGGAACTCTGCGATCATGTGCGGTGTCTTCCTGGCAGTCATTGAGGGTGTTGGGATCGGTTTCCAGCGGATGATGGCGGACAACACAAAACTCGAGGTATGATGACCGTGACCGGCTTCTACTGCAGGTTCATCCACTGACATGTCCATCGTTATAGCTACCCCCAGCGCCTCCGACCGAACAGAAGGCCATTGCTTAAGTCGATTCACCCACACATCCGAGCCTCCTCCACCTCTCCTCTCGGCGGCCTACTCGCTATACTTTCACACTGTATCAAAACTTACCCTCAAGTCTCTCTTCTCAGGAGTTTGGTTGGGACATTATCATCATCATTATTAAACGGCACGACATAGAGGTTTCTTTTTTTCCTTTTTCTTCCGGCATCTTGCGCTTTTAACCGGTTAATGTCTTCTTGAGCGCTGTTGTCCGAGCCGATTTCCAGCGTCGGCGTGGGTGTTGTTTTCTCGGCAGGCAATTATGATCCTGCGACGAGAGAAAAGCTCCTCTTCTCATCATCCTCCAAAACCAAAAGCGTTCGGACGGGACGGTGATGGATTCTTGTACATTAACACATCAGGTCGAGCATAGTGTGCAACTTCACTGCATATACACATATTCAACTACTTATGAGATTCAATTGCCGAGTAGGATTCTATGACTAACTGATAGCCTATCTTCTGCCTCATCCAGCGCTAGACCAACGCCGATTCAGGCCAAAGCCACTCCCCCGCATCAACCACCAACTATTAATTCTTGCTCTTCCCGCCCCAACATTGTTACACCTTGCAACACACCCCACCATGTCCGACTTACCCACCTTCAAGCCCGCACTGATCTTGCACGGCGGCGCAGGCAACATCCAACGCTCCAAGATCCCACCAGATCTCTACGCCAGGTACCACGCCTCGCTGCAATCCTTCCTGCGCTCGACCTATGCCCTTCTCAATGAAGGCGCCAGCGCCCTCGACGCAGCAGTGCATTGTGTCTCACTACTGGAAGATGACGAGCTGTTCAATTCCGGTCGCGGCAGCGTATTCACCAAAGCGGGAACCATCGAAATGGAAGCTTCGGTAATGGTCACGTCGCTCCGTCACGACCCTAACCAGGAGGGCGAGGGTGCAATCAAGCGCGGCGCAGGCGTGATGGGGATTAGGAATGTCCGCAATCCTATCCGTCTCGCACGCGAATCCCTTTTGCGGGCTGGCGTCACTGCAGACGGCGAGCTTTCGAACGACGGAGGGTGTCTGCACTCTCAACTCGTCGGGCCACATGTCGAGAAGATGGCTAGCGAATGGGGACTCAAATTTGAGCCGGACGAGTACTTTTGGACGCAGCGCCGCTGGGACGAGCACCGGCGCGGGCTGAAGGGCGAGGAAGATCCCATCTTTATGAGCCAGGGGACTGTGGGCTGTGTCTGCTTGGATCAGTGGGGGAATCTCGCTGTTGCCACTAGCACGGGTGGAATGACCAACAAGCTTCCCGGGCGGATTGGTGATACGCCTACGCTGGGTACAGGGTTTTGGGCTGAATCCTGGGAGGAAGCGTGCAGCGGTACCGCTGGGAGTGATGATTCCGATGCCGGTGCCTTTTCGGTCAACGACCTGGTCCAGGAAGCACGGTATTGCATGGCAGATTGTCTTCCCAGCTGCATGAGGGATTCGCCTTCTCCATCCCTGCCCGTTCGAGATCATTCCGCGCCTGAAAAGGCGCCGCTAGTGTATCAAGGAGCCGCCTCCCAACATCGAACCAAGAAGCGAGCCATCGCCGTCTCCGGAACTGGAAATGGCGACTCGTTCCTTCGCGTTGCAGCCTCCCGCACCGCTGCCGCCATGCTACGATTCGGCTCGTCTGACAAGTCCCTCGCTGACGCAATCACCGCCGTTGCCGGGCCTGGCGGCGACCTGCAACGCTCCGCTGGACCGCGTTGGAAGAAGACCGGTGAAGGCGAGGGCGGCATGATTGGCATCGAAGCAGACACGGGACCTGCAGCTGCTGATAAAAAGCTTCGCCGTGGTAAAGTCGTCTTCGATTTCAATAGCGGGGGCATGTGGCGTGCTTGGGTTGAAGAGGATGAGAATGGAAATGATGTCGAGAGGGTTATGGTGTTCAGGGGGGAATATAAATAATCTCATATAGATGGTAACAACTAGAATCTGACATTTTTTGTTGGCATAGCTTACAAGATGCTTCTATGTATAGTTATGTCCAGTAGATGACGGAGTGAAGTGGCCCTTGCGTGTAAGCTACCCCGGTTTAAGTACAGCAACTCATGAGAAGGGAATTCATCATAATCATTATCATGATCATCACCATCTACCAACCCTCCAACGGAGTCAGCTTAGCCAAAACCCCATCCTTCGGCGACACCGTGGCACCCTCCCTCACCTCCAACTTGGCATCCGGGAACTTCAACTCCATCTGAAAGCGACCGACCATAGCGGCAAGCAAACACGCGAGCTCCGACTGGGCGAATCTCTGCCCAATACAGCTGCGCGGGCCATGCAAGAAGGTCAAGAAGGCATAGTTGCTCGTCGCGCCACCGGTATTCGCTTTCCCGGGACTCATGAAGCGGTCCGGGTTAAATTTGTCTGCATCAGGACCCCACAGTTCCTTCGTGTGGTTCGTGACCTCTGGGGAGATGATCAGAATGGTGCCCTTGGGAATCGGGTGGCCGACCAGCGACGTGTCGCGAGAGGCCTCGCGCAGGGTTGCGGGCACAGAGGGGTGGAAACGGAGGACTTCGTTGCAAACGGCGTTGAGGTAGGGGAGGTTATCGAGCATGGAAGCGGTGATGGGCTCGGGGTTCTCCGTTGAGACCGGGGGTAGGTTTGCGCGGACTTCTTCGCGGAGACGGGTTTGCACGTCGGGGTTCTTGCACAGAGCATAGACGGCCCATTGGAGGGCTGTGGCGGTGGTTTCGTGGCCTGCACCGAGGAAAGTCATGAGTTGGTCGACGAGGTTTTCCTCATCGAATGTGCCGCTGCGCAGTGCGACGGAGATGATATCCACGCTTTGCTGCGCATCCGGGTCCTTCATCTTCTCTTTCTTCTCGCCGATTGTCATTCGGGCAACATTGCGGATCGTCTCGCCGCCCTCGTTGATATCCCTGTTGCGCTTCGTAGGTAGTTTCTGTATATACTTCCCGGGGATGAGAAGGATGCTGATGACGATCAAGATCTTGGTGAAGAACCCAGGCGGAGTGAAGATCTTCTTGTAGCCCAGGCTGAGCGGGTTGGATGGATCCCGCAGCGAGTCGAAGTCGTGGTCCATGCCTGCCACGCCGATGATGTCGAGCGTGGCCCGGCTCGCCCAGTTGCGGATCTGGACCGTGTTGTCCTCCTCGTGGGGCTTTCTTTGCGCCAAGTCCATGTTGATTCTTTTCACCATCTCTACGCTCTTCGCCCAGAAGATCGGGTACAGATCCTTAATGTGGCGGTAGGCAAATGCCGGCATCAGGTTCTTGCGTTGGAACTATTGCAGTGTTAGCGTACCTCCCATTTAGAAAGCATATCTGTCGTACCTTGTGTTCGTCGCCCTCGGCAAGCAGGATGCCCTCACCGGTAACGCGGCGCAAATTATTGCGGACCGGCTCGGGCTTCTCAAAGTCATAGACCTTGGTCACAAGCAGCTCGCTCAATGCCTTGGGGCTGGTTAAGAGGACGCGCTCCAGATTGCCAATCCCATAAAACCGGATGAGCCCATCATTGGGGATGGTTTTGTTCCATTCGAGCATCCGCTGATATGGCGCCTGCAAAAAGTTCGTAAACCCATGGCCCGTGAGTAAACTCCGTCCCTGAATTGTGTCTGTCAGTTGCATTCCAGGAAACAATGGGACAGATCCATACCTCAGGAGTCGGTATGTGCTTCAGAGGGGTAAAAAGCTCGGGATACAGAACGACCTGATAGAGGATTCGGGACACGGTGAGGATGGAGAAGAGCACGGCGACGGTCACTGTGCGCGAGTCGTAAAAGGCATATTCGGGCTTGAAGTACATGGCCGCGGCCACGCCCACGTACAGCGCGCCGAAACCCTCGTTGATGCGTCCCATGTTTTTCCCCGTCGGCAAGATCACCAAATCGCGTGCCCTCGTTGGTCGAATTAACCCTTCAGCACCACTCAAGGGATCGTTATGGGCGAGCTTTGCAGAATAGTAAGGAATCCAATGTTGCGTGGTCAAAACTCGGCCCGTCAGCAAATTGTCGCAGCCTCGGATTGGATTGGCATATGATAACACAAACACCACAATTCGGTCTCCCTTGCAGACATCAACTGACTGTGATGAGTGTGCGAATGTCTTTCTGGGCGCTAAGCTGATAATGAAAAAGAAAAGAACAGAATCAAATCAGGCATCCATTTATTATCACCGGAGACGGGATTTCACAACCCCGAGCCGACGGTGGGATTATTCGCAACCCTTGCCTCATCGGGACTGCCCGCTGGTTGGACCTACGCAGGATTATTGGGGACAGATCACCACTATGGAACTATGAACTCGCAAATCAAACCCCATTAATACTCTCCAACCCCGGTAATCCGTCTGAATTCGCCCACCGTGTGCTCCCACACCTGCGTGTCCATTCCCTGTTGGCGGAGTTTCCCCAGAATACCCACAACCTTGGCTTTGGTGCCTTCTCCATCCCAGTTGACACTATACACCCCACTACCACTCTCCCCGTCCGTGCCCACGGCTATTTGAACATCGCCCGACACAGGAACTGCCTTGATGGGCTTATCCGCCCCACGGGCGGGATATTTCGCACTCGTCGCCAGGAACAGATGCCGCTCGCCGGACTCCTTGATCGGAATGCAGAACAGCCACCCGAAGAGAAACATGAAGGCGCCCATGATGCTCACGAGGATGCTGTCGACGTCTTTGCCTATTCCCGTCTTCACGGCACCGGGGTAGGAGTGGACGAAACTCACTTCCGGGGCGCGTTGGGCCAATGCCTCGAGCGCCAGATCTGTCATGGAGACGAGGTGCGCGCGCATGGTCAGGAGCGAAAGCTTCCTACTTTGGAAGTCTTCGGGATGTATGGCGCCTTCTTTGCCGCCTGCCAGTACGCTGACGACACGTCGGAGGCTAGTGGCCTGGCGCAGGAGTGGGAGGAGGTTGAGTGCGAATCGTGTGCGGGCATAGTATGCGACAGCAATGGGGACATGCATGCCCTCCGATGTTTCTGGGGGGGCCTCATTAACATCAAAACTAACTGTAGACTCTAACAATGCGTACCAGCATGCATCACCGCAGTCCCGCAACTGAGGAAGAGCAGATTGATGGCATTCTCCTTGTCCTTGATCTCGCGACAGACCTCATCCACCGCCTTGATGAGACTGCAATCCGCCTTGATGAAGATAAACTCGCCCTCCGGGTTTAGTTGGCGGCATTCGGCTGTGATGCGATTGCCTGCGTCTTGCGAGCGGCCGACGAAATACACACGAGGTTGACGAGCATTCCGTGCAAATTCCTTGAGAGCAGTCTCGCCGATCCCGCTGGTGGCTCCGACGAAGACCGCGACAAGACCGGGCGGCAGGGATGTCGCGATCTGGGCATTTGAGGCCTGGACCTCGGGTAGGGAGACCATTCTGGAGGATGATGATTAAAATAAGCTATTTGCAATTGGACTGCCTTGCATCTGACACCGGTCCTCTTAAATAATAATCCATCATTCTTCGTTCTTGCACCGGAATATCGTTTGTCAGTTCCCCCCGGAGTTAAGACGGGCGGGTGAATACGAGTCCGTCGGCCTGGGGGGAACAAACGACCCGACCCCGGAATCGCATCGTATATCATTAAAGCTTGGTGTCATCAGCGAGCGTGCTCGTGTTCGTATCTGAAAGTCTGAAATGTCTGTGCCTGGGTGTGGAATAGATCTGGTCTCCAAATAACTGGAGGGCTCCTAAGTGACTTTGGCTGCAAGTCTAATGATCTATAGCCTAGAGCTATTGGCTCAAGTCAAGCAGAATCAAAAAACCCAAGCAACGCAGTCCCAACACCAATAATCAGCGGCGCATACCCCCAATGCGCTCCTTGGCCCTCTCCCCACGTCCAGCACACAAACCCATCCGCCAAGGCCACCGCGCCATTAGCAACAAGCATCCACCCCAGAGACTGGCGTGTTCCCCAGAAAGAGCAGATGTAAATGGCGACTCCCATGAAGATGTCGCGAATTCCATAGACATACATTAAGCTGTCGACCAGCTGTCTCTCCGGCAGAGACGTGGGATAGTCCCATGCGAAGAAGGTGAGCCCATGTTCCGGGCGGAGGAAGGCGTTGAAGCCGAAGCCGATGGAGATGGTTGCGATGGCATTTGCGGCGAGGTGGAGGGCTTTGTTCTGGGAAAGTGGCATTTTGGTGGGAATTGGCTGTGGGAATTGGCTTTTGGATGATAACGAAAGAAACGGGATGTTTTTAAAATTCTGGCTGGGTGGGTTGGTCAGTGGGAATCAGCAACTGATCACAGCTGTGTTGGCCGTACCTGGTAGATGGGACGTCGAGAAGCTTAGAGAAAAGAAGAAGGTGGCTGGGGTATCCTGACCATTATATACTTCGATGGAGCAGTTACGACGCTAGCCGTGCCGAGGATCCACTCAAGATTGGAAAGTTTTGAGCTTGTGGGGGAGTCGGAACTGGTTCTATACTTGTGATCCCGAGAGTTCGGATTGATTCCTATGGAATAATCGCTTTAATAACCCCCCGACTCTCCCTCCTCCGCCATCGGCTTAAACGAAACCTCCACAGGCTCATTCCCAATCCCCCGTTTCCTGGCCTCCTCCAAAATGGCCACCGTCGCCGTCGCCCCGATTCTGGTAACCCCCAAGCTCATAACATGCAACAAATCATCCAGCGTCCGCACCCCACCGGCCGCCTTGATCTGCACTTTCTCCCCAGACGAGGCACGCATCAGCTTGAGATGTTTCACCGTCGCGCCCTTGTAATTATACGCTCCATCAGCCTGCTTGACAAACCCGTACCCCGTCGAGGTCTTCACGAAGGCAACCCCCAACTCGGTACAAATCTCACAAAGACGCACAATGTGTTCCGTCTGCAGATAATCATTCTCAAAGATCACCTTGAGAATCGCATGGTTTGCCGTGACAGCGTCATCAATCAACCGGATCTCCTCGCGCACATACCTCCAGTCCCCGCCGAGGACCTTGCCGATATTAACCACCATATCGATCTCGGCGCCGCCGGCCTGCGCCGCCGCAGTCGCTTCGGCGACTTTGATTTCGGTGGTGCTGTTGCCGTGCGGGAACCCGATGACGGGGCAGACGAGCACGTCGGTGCCTTCTAATTCTTTTTTGGCGAGCGGGATTAGATATGGTTTCACGCAGGCTGTTGCGACGTGGTTTTCTTTGGCGATCTTGAGGCCGGAGAGGATGTCGCTGTCTGTCATGGTTGGGTGCAGAAGGGAGTGGTCGATCATTTTGGCGAGTTGGGGGAGCGAGACCCTGATTTTGTTGTTGTTGGTGGTGGCCATTTTGTGGATGTGTTGTTTTGCTTCGTGTTCAGCAAAATGGAGGGAGTCGAGCGGTTCGTTTATACTCCCGGTATGACTGAGGGGTCCCACTACAGAAGCTCCGGTGGAGACGGAGGTGCTTTGCCACCGATCATTAGGGTAATTATCTCCGTTACTTGGGCTGGCTTACTATGGTAGAACCTTCATGGTTTTTATAGTTACTACGGGAAATTTATAAACCGAATATACCGCCCTAAGTATTCAGTAGTGTTTTTCATTCACCATGTTCTAGTCAAACATATCTACGTCTTATCCTGTGTTTTCTTCAGGTACACACCACCTCCCCGGCTCGAAAACCCCCATCGGATCTGGTTGGCCATGGAGATTTCCACATCCAATTCCTCGGCCCAAGTCCAGACCAGTCCAGGGTTCTTCTGGAACCCACGACCGATAAGCACGAAATCCAGCCCGTTGTTCTCCAACAGGGAATTGGCCAGAGAAGCATTGCCGATCATCCCGACGGAACCAACCTGGATGCGATCCCCAACAGCCTTCTTAACCTCTATGGCAAAGGGAGCCTGGAAGCCCGCCTTGGCGTGGATGTGCTGCTCCTGGTGGTTGCCGCCACTGCTGATATCCAGGACATCGATATTCCCGCTCTCAGCCAGCGCCTGTGCAAAACGAACAGTATCCTCCACACGCCAGCTGGGTTCGTTGGGCTTCACCTCCTCCAGCCAGTCGGTCGCCGAGACACGCAGAAACACGGGCATATCCTTGGGCACGTTCTCGCGAGTCAGCTTGGCAATCTCCATGGACAGACGAGTGCGATTCTCGAAGCTGCCGCCGTACTCATCGGTGCGGGTGTTTGTCGCGGGAGAAAGGAAGCTCATGAGCAGGTATCCGTGCGCATTGTGGATTTCCACAAAGTCCACGCCGGCCTTGATGGCACGCTTCAGCGCAGCCACGTAGTCCCGCTTGAAATCCTCGATATCGGATTTGGTCATGGCCTTTGGGATCGGGAACCGATCGGTAAAGGGCACGTCGGTCGGACCCTTGACATTGTCCGGCCATCCGCCGACCGCGGCGGTCGCCATGTCGCCCATGCTCAACCAGGGGGCGACGGTGCTCGCTTTGCGGCCCGCATGCGCCAGCTGGATGCCGATATGCTGGTTCTGGCTGTGCACGAATTCGACGACGCGACGGAGCGGTTCGATCTGCGAGTCCTTCCACAGGCCGTGGTCTTGTGGGGTGATGCGGCCTTCCGGCTGCACGGCGGTGGCTTCGACCATGATGAACCCGGCCCCGCGCTGGGCAATGCCGCCCAGATGCGCCATGTGCCAGTCCGTCATGTGTCCATCGTCGGCGCTGTATTGGCAGAGCGGAGAAAGCTGTCAAGCAATATATCAGCTAATAGTCCTCCAATACCACATTGACCAAACACACTTACCCCAATTCGGTTCTGGAAGGTCAACCCCCGCACCTTCATGGGCTGGAAGAGCTTGGGAGGCTGCGATCCATCGGATTGCGGGATCGCGGCCGATCCGGCCGGAGGCACTTGGGCCGGGGTGAAGTAGGAGATACCCTCGGCGGGCTTATTCGCGATGTCGGGGTGATTAGGTTGGGCCATAGTCGCGAGAGAGTATGAGGGAAGTATGTAGGTGGGATGCAACTAAGCATTTATGTAGGCCTGAAAGCTTGTCCGTCCTGCTCCACCGGCTTATAAATGCGCTGGTGTGCCGACGTCACCATTATCAGCTATGGTCGGGAGCAGCATCCGCCAAAGAAAAGTATCGGGTAGAAGTCCGAATAGTTGCATCCTATGTTGGATGTGCTCCGTATAAAAAATAAAGTGACGGGATTCCGCGAGGCTAAATTCAATTCATTCATTGGGCCCGAGACGGCGGGAGTGACGGGTTTACGCGAGTCGCTGGCGGGCAAACGAGAGGCGCTGACTGGTCCCCGCTAGCGTTCCATTGTTGTTGCAACGGGTGGAGAGGTGCCCCTTTTTTGACGGCGATAGTGAAGAGGAAGCGGGAGAGTGATAGGAGGAATAATAGGAGTCGTAGCTGATCAGAATCGCGAGAATAGTATAATAATAATAATTATAATCATGATCATCTTGTCATAGTCCTACGATCCATAGCTTTCCCTTCACCGACTGACGATCAATCAGCCCTAAGACGAACCCCTTCTCCACCCCTGTGTTTCATCGCTTCTGCTCTGCTCTGCTCTGCTCTTCCTCTTCCACACACGCTCTCTTTGTCCGTCTCACACGACATTCATTCTGTCTTGCACCATCCCTACCCACACTCGTTCTTTCATCTAGCCGCATTACAGCCCACATTCTTTCTCCACCATCGAGATCTCGTCGAATCCCATCTGCCCCTGGTTAGCGCCTGCGATCGCAAAGGGACCACTCCAAGCGCCCGGCACGTCAATCACAACTGCATACAACAACTGCAGCGCAGGCCGCTCTGAAACAGCCCTTGTCCTGATCTTCCAGCCGCTGCGTGGAACTTGCGTCAGTTGCGACTCGACCTGGTCCCTTCAACATTCCTTTGTTCGGCCTCCCGCCGTAATGCGCCATTCTCGCCTCTAAAACACCCATTTATTCGGTCGCTCTCTTTTGCCGGAACTTCCATACTTCAGATTTCCCGTCCGTCTCGCCCGTTCGATGCGTGACTTTGCCCGGCTGGTCCGAGGAAAGTCCATATTTATCCATCTGTGATCTCCCCTCCCGTTTGCCCCCTCTCGATCGCTTCCTGGCAGGACCAGGCTCATTCCGACCATGTCTTGCTGTGGAGATCGCGAAAAGGGTCATGCCAAGTTGGAGGAAAAATGGGATTATGTGGTACGTGGGCAATGAAAGTGGACGGTACTTGTGCGTTATTGACTGACAGCTCCAGAATCTGGACGACTTCAAATCCGAATCTTGCTTGACACCCTTTTCCTACTTCTTCCTTTGGGTTTTTCTATTTGTCTCATTGGCTGTCTATGGGGTCGACACGTTCACCGCAGTCAATCTGATCGCCTTCTCCCGATGGGCCGGTCGAATCAAACCGGCCATCCCATTCTACATCTCGCGATGGATCTTTGCTGCTTGTATCCTCTTCTCGTTCGCTCTCTTGGTCTACCGTTGGATGAACGCGATTCGTGCGATGCGCTCGGGCAGCATCACGCGCAGTTATATGGACCCTCTCGCGGTCCGCGTTCAAAGTTTCCGCATCTTTGGCTCCAAAGGCCGTGGCTGGAAGCGATACCTGGTCTTCGCGGAACTGACAAAGAGTAAAAAGGGTGCGGAGTACGTCGCCCTGTACTCGTACTTCTCTTTTCATTCGTGGATGACGACGGTGTTCGCCGATGGGCCGCGGCAGGTCCTTAACGGCATCACCCTGTATTCGGTGGCCAAGATGGATCTTCTCCCGGGGGCCAAAATGCCCATAATGACGACGACGCTTCGGGAATCAGCCAGTTCTTCAACAACCTCCAAATTATGGCCGACGAAAACGTCCTCCAGCTGGTGGTGTTGCTCGGTATGCTCTTCACGGTGGTCATTTGGATCATCTCGGCTTTGAGGCTGGCCTCGGCAATTGTGCTCTACCTGATCTACCTGTTCCACCATATCCCGGCCGAAGATGGTACCCTGACCAGGTATTGTCGCCGCAAGATTAGCACTCGGCTGAAGCGGATTGTGCAGCGCAAAGTCGACAAGGCTCTGCAAAAGGGCTTTATGCTGCAAGAACGCACTCCCACTCAACCGAGTCTGGCGAGTTCAGATACGAAACCGACGCTGCCGTCTCTCGACCAAGACAAGGGTCCAACCGTGGCTACTATATCGCGCAGCACCACCATGACCACGCTGCCGCCTTACACCCGATCAAATTCTTTCGCCCCAGAACAGAACCCTACCCTGCCAAACCTGGAGTCACCTTACTCGCGATCGAATTCTGCTGCCCCAGAGCAGAATCCCACTCTTCCAAACCTGGAGGGCGGCCTTGATTTTAGGCCGCCACTCACTCGAACAACCACTCAGTCATCGGCTTATTCCGAATCGGCTTCGTTGACAGGTCATGCGGCGATGATGGGATACAGCCCTCTGGACCGCCAGAACTCGCCGGCGCCACCAGTTCCTCCTCTGCCGGCCTCCATTCAACCTCCCAGATCTCGAGGTACTCCTGGTCCGCCACCATTTGCCAACGAGTCTGGCCGCAACAGCCCTGGGCCGGGATATCGCAACTTGACCGACAGTACCCCCGGACCTGGCCAATATCGCGCGTTCAGCCCAGTCACCGACCCCTATGCTTCTCAGTCACACGCACCCGGAGCTTCCATTTCTGATGACTACTTTAGTCGAGACGAAAACCCAACTGGCTATGATGCATATGGCGCTCCTGGTGCTGCCTATGGCGGAGAAGATGACTATTACGCCCGATCTGGAACCCCAATGAGCCAACGCGGTACCCCTCGCCCGCAGGCCGGTCCCTACCAAAGATCTTTCACGCCAGCCAGCACAGGGGGAACGCCTCCGCCCATGAGCACTGGCCCCACGGCGCGATCTATGACCCCGGCAAGCTACCGCGGAACCCCTCCCCCGTCATCAGGCGGACCAGCAGTCCGACCACCACCTCGAAATTTCACACCTCTCAGCCAGAGCAGCACCCCGGGTCCTCAACAAGGAGGCAGCAGTAGCGGTGGCGGCGGGTATGCAGCCTATAGCCCAACATCGATGGGCCCACCCCGCCCACCACCATCTCGGCCAATACCAGCCGCGCCATCAGGCTACCAACCCTTCACACGCGCGAACACCGCCTCTCCCTCTGCCATGAACCGCAGTGCCAACAATGGTACTCCCCAGGGATATGGGTTTACTCGCGCAAACACAGACCAGTTCTGAGCTGAGGTGGTGCTGCCAAAAGAAAGAGAAAAAAGAACGTCGTTTTATGAATGACCAACTGCATCGAGCTGGCTCTGTCTACGGTTGTTGTCCCTGATGACCGGATCGGAAGGATTCACACTCTCCCTGTTAATACCCCTTCATGACCAACGAGCGAGTCTGGAGATTGTTGTACATATTCCATACCCACGGGCCTTTTTGTTTTGGCGGTTTGACGGTGTCTATGATGGATCTTTTGCTTGGAATATGATCTGGATCTACCACAGTATTTGATCTTGCTTGGCTTAAATGTCGTAGATGGTCGGTATGTACATGTAGAGTGGTGTTCCCAAAAGTCTGAAACTCGTCACTCACTAGGCGGTAGTTAGAGGTGTCAGACTTTTGGAACACCCTGTTAAGTATGGTTTGTTGCTTCTGCAAATTAACAGGAACATTCAGTTGACTTCATTCCAGCCCCTTGAGTCGCTTTCCCTCCCAATCCTTCTCACACCGACTCTCAATCCTTTTGTTTTGTGGTCCTGGGACCACAATCACGACTAGTTGACTAGTTAGTTGTCTGGTCGCAAGGCTGAGTCAATCTGCTCCGCTCAATCATTCCACAAAAACACTTGCATTTCTTGTATCTGTTACCAGCGCACGAGATGTCATTGTTAGACCTCCCACCGGAGCTGATGGATCTCATCACCCGCGCTCTCCGGTCAGAAGCAGATATCAACGCGCTGGCTCAAACAAGCCGAGGCTTTTACGCTCTCCTGAACAACCGCCTCTACTCGGTCAACATCAACAAGGGCGGCTCTGCACTAGTATGGGCTACCCGCAAAAGACAAATACCGGCAATACAAAAACTTCTGAAGAGCGGTGACATCGATGAGATAGACACTGATCACATTTTCGATGCATTCCTACTCCTGATCAAGGACAATGACTTGGCCACGGTGCAAGTCTTGGTTGACCTGGGTTTCGTCCCAGATATCCCGGACCTTCTAATGGTTGCGGTGGCCCTTGGATATGAGGATATGGTGCGGCTGTTAATCGCCTCGGGTGCTGATCCCACTTGCCCCTACGCTCTCGCCCATGCAGTGGTTTCTGATAGGGTCTCTATTGCAAAACTCCTGCTGGAGAGTGATGCAGATAGAAACTTTCCGCACGAGGACGATGGCCATACCCCGCTCCATGCGGCTGCTCGCGCTGGAAACGAGACCATGACCAAACTTCTATTGGACTACGGTGCCCGCCCATGGGACCGCACCTATCATGGAGATACCCCCATCCACATAGCAATGGCCGAGGGCCACGACGGTGTTGTGAAGATTCTTCACGAAGAAGTAATGTCAACCGAACTACGCGGCTCAGATGGCCGCACTGTTCTACATTGTGCAGCTCTTGTTGGCAGCTTGGATATGGTCAAATATCTGCTGCATCATCGCGCCGATTCAGAAGCGCTCACCGATGAGCTCGAGACGCCTCTGATGCTAGCCTCGGGGGCCGGCTACACAGAAGTCGTCAAGTTTCTCCTTGAGAAGGGGGCATTTACTGAATCGAGGGATCAAGATGGCTGGCGCGCATTGCATAATGCGGCGTGTGGTGGCCGCGCAGATGTAGTGCGGGTTTTGCTGGAGCATGGGGTGGACAAGCAGCCCTTGAGCACATCGACTCCTCCGGAGACACCGCTTCAGCAAGCTGCACTGAAGGGACATCTGGGCGTTGTGAAGCTTATGCTTGAATATGGAGTTGAGGTAGACGCTGCTGCCCTGGAAACGGCCAAAGTAAAAGGTCACCAAGCTGTGGTTGAGGTATTAGAAATTGGGGGAGGTGATTCCTAAATCCATTAGCTATCTGATTGAAATAAAAGCTATGGAACCTGCTTTATAGTCGTATAGTTAGTTAGCAAAGCAAGTTGTATATACCTCCCTCGGTAGTTGGATGGTTAACTATACTAATTTCTGCCTGAGGCAACACATGCGACGGGCCAGATAATCCCCGATGATCTTCTTATCTTCCCCGTTGCATCACCCTCACTCTCCTTCTCCCTTGCAGCTGCAGACGCCTGATACGTCGCCACCAACTGAATCGGTCGCGCCTACATGCTTTTGCCGTAGTCGAACCCTCGCCAAGCTTGATCGCGCCACGGCTTTCGTCCTTCCGATCTGCGACGCGGCCCTGGATAATGCACGTCGAGATATCTCCGCAGTCGTCCGGATGAATGGTGAACATCGACAAGTCAAGCCCCGCGCGTTGACTTTACCAGACACCATGAGTGCTATCTCAAAGGGTAGTCAGGACGCTGCTGGGAACAGACTGGATAACGGATTTAATGGGAATGCGAAGTCTTCTGGGAAAGATGCAACGTCACCGCATCCACCGGACAAGGATAGCATGGAAACTTCAGCCTGGCCCGATATTCCTGCAGACGAGGAAGATATGACACGAGAGTTTGACTTGAAGGACCCCATCGAAGCGAATGGCACATCCTCGTCGGACTGGCACTCCACGAATGGGATCCATAAAGAGTTCCAGCCAGCGGAATCGCCGGACCAAGGTCTGGGAATCCTCATCGAACATACCCATGACGATACAACGAATACTGGTCGGTCATCGGTCGTGGATGTTTTGGAAGGCCAGAAGATCACGGCGGCCCTGGCAGAGCTGACCAGGGACGGGTCATCGCAACCGGCCGGAGAAAAGGAAAAAGTGATAAAACTATCTCCAGCGAAGATCCAGGAACTCACGTCGTCACCGGACTCGATTCCCTACCGCGTTGCAACACCAGAGGCAGAGACCGGCAGAAGAGTGGTTTCGGATTACGCCTACATCAATGGTGTAATTTCTCGACCCGAGTTACCGGATAACGAACAAGCACCTACCAGTGCACAGACAAATGTCACGGATAGCGCACTGGAGACTCGGCCAGGTAAAGATATCCTCCTTGAAGAAGCATCTGCACCAGCGAGCCCGGTGACCACTCGGCAACCCATTCCTCCATCTGCTCGGAATCGACCCCAAACATCACGCACCTTTTCAACACCTGCTTCTTTGCGACGGCCATTACCTCTTTCACCTAACAATGAACGGTTGGCACAAACTTGGGCTTCACGGCCAAAACAAGACCGGCCCACAACAAATCATATGGATCGCGAGTCCAAGGGCCATCTCGGCCCGTCGCCCCAGATCATTGAGACGCCCATGTCCTCTCCACTGCCACCATACCCACTGCCACCCGTTTCAATACCTACATACCTCCAGCTCGAGCTCGCGTCGGGTCGCCCATCTCCATTGTATATTCATCGCTCTGCAACAAGCGACTTTCCTTACGAATCGGCACATGTGAAGCTTGAGAGGCTGATGAACTTTCTTCGACTGCCTCTAGAATTGGAGCAGGTGCTCTGGTTTGGCGCCCTCGCGTGTCTCGATTCATGGCTCCACTCGTTCACCATTCTCCCTCTTCGATTCGCCAAAGCTGTCTATATATTGGTCGAGTCTTGGGTGATGAACCTGGAAGCTGAAATTCGATTTATCTGGAACTTCGTTCTAAATGGAGTTGGACGAGTCTGGCAAAGAAAGACCCAATCGTCTACGGACCATGCAGATGAAAGACGAGGAAGCGAGCCCGACGCAACCCATCGACTAGCATCTAGCTCCTCGGTGGCGCCAGAATCTACTTCGGTAGACCGAGAATTCAAGCATCGGCACAGAGACTCTTCACGGAGACACCGTCCTTCCGAGGCTCGCAAGCATCATCACCATCATCGAAGGCAGAAATCGATGCCTTCGGCGTTGCTACCCGATGACAAGGCCGATATATTGACTGGCCTTCTCATGGTAGCCACTTGTTGTGGTTTGATGTATTTCGATGCGAGTCGGATGTATCACTGGATTCGAGGACAGGCGGCTATTAAGTTGTACGTGATTTACAACGTGTTGGAAGTGAGTGACCGGCTGTTGGCTGCTATTGGACAGGATGTCCTTGAGTGTCTCTTCTCACGGGAAGCACTTGAACGGCGACCTGATGGACGCAGCAAGATTTTTCGTCCTTTCGGGCTATTTTTGCTTGCCCTGGTCTATACCGTGACACATTCCATATCACTCTTTTACCAGGTCATGACACTCAACGTGGCAGTGAACGCGTACTCCAACGCTCTGATCACGCTACTCATGTCAAATCAGTTCGTGGAGATCAAATCTACCGTCTTCCGCAAGTTTGAGAAAGAAAATCTCTTCCAACTCACCTGCGCGGACGTCGTGGAGCGATTCCAACTCTGGCTGATGCTCACCATTATTGCCTCTCGCAATATCGTGGAACAAGGGGCGTTCAACTTCGTTGGTGACCTGGGGCTCGGATCCAGCCTTTCCAGCCAGTCCTCGTCCACTGCCACCAACAGCACACCTCTGTCAACACCGCCTCGGACCGCTTCGTCTATCATACCTCAATCTTTCACCTTCTTTCCCTCGTCAATCCTGTCGTCTCTGAGCAATGCCAATTCTTTCCTCCCGATGCTGGCACAAGTTCTGGGCCCCTTTATGGTGGTTCTTGGGTCGGAGATGCTTGTGGATTGGCTAAAGCATGCCTACATCAACAAGTTTAACAACACTCGTCCCGCCATATATGGCCGGTTCCTTGACTTGCTCGCCAAAGACTACTACACCAATGCCTTTGGCGATCATAATCTCACCCGCCGTCTTGGTCTCCCTGTCATCCCGCTGTCCTGCCTGTTTGTCCGGGTCTCCGTGCAAACATACCAGATGTTCCTCGCCTCCCTGCTACCCCAGCATCCCTCGTCCACCGCAATGGGTTCCGCCTCTCTTTCAACCATCCACGATCATTACGCCCCGGTGCCCATCCCGTCCGCACCGCCTTTGAGTCTGCGGACCCTTCTGCCCGCCTCCGCCGCGCACTTCAATACCTTCGTCCGCACCGTCCTCGCCAACCTCATCCCTACCCCCGCGCAGTCAGTGCAGATCTTCACCGTCATCCTGATCATCACTGGATTTGTGGTCCTGCTCATTCTCAAGATCCTCCTGGGCATGGTCCTTCTTGCCTTCTCCCGCTCCCGCTATCGTAAGATGAACGGATCTGAAAACGAGGCCCCGCCTGCCCATTCCTCGTCTCATGCTCAGACAGCCAATGGATCTTCGGCTCCACGCCAGCGCGAGTTTGCTGTGGAAGGCAGTCGCCGTGTCGGCGGCTGGGGCATGGTGGAAGTGGGCGATGAGAGGCGTCGATGGATTTATGCGGATGACCCTGACGGTCTCCGGCGCCTCAAGGAGAAAGAAGAGCGAGACAAGAATAAGGACGGGGATATGAATATCGACCATGTGCAGCGGTATGAGATGGTTGCTAAGAAGATTTGGTAGTGAGTAGGCGGTTTGGTGATTTCGTGTAATCTAGATGCATCTGTGATGTCTTGTTGTATAGCATAGTAAGCGCCATAATCATCATGAATTTTTCAATATTAGAGCTATTGCGCTATGCATAATAATGTATCAACATCTCCATCATACAAAACACCACCATCTCATTCAAGACGGCAGATTCCAAATGAAATCTAGGCCACCCCCCTCATACATAGGAAACTGCCCGCCGCTACTGCTGATCCCAAACGGGGCCATGGAAGGATCAAATGGAAGCGAAAGCCACTCGTCACCCGCCATGTCATTCAACGAAGGCATGAACCCCAGCTCGGGCGTCAAATCCTGCGACGCAGGCGTGCCCATCGGATTTGCACGCTCTGCATTAGTATTGCTGGTATGATCCGGCCAAGGCGGAGGACCCATCGAGGATCGTCGCGTTGTGCCTCGACTGTTTTTCATGACTTTCGACGATGCCAGGAGATTGCGCCGTAAGCGCGAGACGTGCATGTCTAACAGGGCTGCGTAGCGGGTACTCAGGTGGACGTCGTCAAGGGCATTGGACTTGAGCGCATCGATTGCTTTTTCCAGAATCTCCAGCGCCTCTTGGAGCTTTGCATGCCGCGTGCCGAGACTGAGCGCCTTCATCAGGAAGATCGAGGCGCTGGTGATGCGCAGCACAATGCGCACCGGCGAGAAACGCAGCGCCCCTGCCTCGGCCAGATGGGTCACTTTCTGGAGAATCTGGCAGCATCCGTCGATGACTTCCTGGATGTATTCGTAATCTGTGGGGTCGATGGTCATAGGCCGCATTTCGTCGAAGTGGTTTGGCTCTGTGTCTGCCACGGCGCGTTCCACGACGGCCTGCATGCCCACTGAGTGAGTGTACACGCGCACGAAGTTGTATTCGATGAAGAGGTCGTTGTAGAATGCTTTGTCCAGGACTTGGGGCTGCAGGTACTTGTCCTTCCACTGGTTGAGCAGCGGCCGGAAATGTTCTAGAAGGCCAACGTATCGGCCCGTAAGCAGCTGTTGTCGCGAGAAGACGGCTGATGGGAAGAACATGTCCGTCACTGATTTGGCGAGCTTGGTTAACTCGATCCACGAGTCCATGAACGTGAGCCAGGTGTTGCCTGGTTGGCTGAGTCCGCGGGGTCGGCGGCCTCCCAGGATGGCGTGGTTGAGAGACTGCGGGATTGGAGACATGCATCCTATGCGCCAGGCGAGCTGGTTGATATACACGTATAGAAGACGCTGGACGCGCTGTCTGCGCAGGGTCATTTGGTCAGCCCATTGCTGTTCTTCTTCGGTGGAACACTGAATATCGCTATTGTCATTGTCGAAGATGCCCAGTTCATGTGCAAGAGAGAGCCCGCACCCGAGAAGCATCCAGGACATCTGGTCTGATCTCCTGGCGGGCTCGATCATATCTTCCACCCATCGGCTCGCGGAGTTATTGTCTCCGTTCCCTGAATGTTTCGAATCCAGGCAGGGAGAGATCAGATCGTCATCCCACCCGTCCGTTTCAGGAGGAAAATGTAGGGAGCGAGGATGCCACTCCGACATGAGAAGAAGTGCTTCGACGGTCCCCAGGCTTCGGACTTTGGACTTGGTGGACTTTTCTTGACCGAAGATGAGTCGCATCGTTAACTGTTGGCAATGCTGCCAGAGTCGGTGGTGAATGAAAAAGTTTCTGGATTCGCCGCCTGCCCCGGGCAGAATATGATATCGAGAAGAAATCATAAGTATGGTACAGCATAACACCGGCTCTCGAGAGATTAGCAAGTAGTGATTATTATGATTGGCGTAGAAATCAGTCAAAATTGGGGAGAGCCAAGACATGTTCTTGAAGAACCTGGCAGTAGTGTTAGCTATGAGCATGGAAAAGATATCCCGAGCGGCTTACATATCAATAAAGGTGACAGCCTCTCGAGCAGTAAACCAGCCCTGTTTCACGAATCGACATGCTTCCCATATATCCAAGGTCTCTCTTGCAGCATCGGAAATTTCTACAGGGCGTCTAACCGTGGGCATCGGCTCAAAGACCGCGGGACTGTCGTAATTCCTGGGAGTTGTTCGTTTTTTAGGCCCCAAAGACGCATTCCCAGAAGTTGACTCGGGCGTTGTGTCATTCAGGTGATTTTCTTGGTCATGCGCAGTTGCAGCCTCGAACAAGATGTTCAGTGCATCGTTGCCACTTGCGACGACCGTCCGCATCATCGAGCTTGCCAGGGTGGAGTTGGACCGGTGTCGATTATTGGGATCATATGATTGTGACGGTGAGTTGTCGGTGTGGCCATTTTGGTCCGTAGCAATGGGCTCTCGGCCTCTTGAATCTAAGGGTGTCTGTCTCTGAGGCCGGGCGAAGGTCCATCCTGGCGGGAATGGACTTGTCGCACTTGGAGTATACGGCTCGCCAGCGGGAGTTAATTGTGGGTTGTGGTAGGTCGAGTTACCAGCTGGCGCAGCGCCATGATATGAATGCTGGATATTCGACTGGTCCAGAGCAGTATGTGAGTTTGTGTTCGCATGTTGAGGCGAGACACCATCATCATTTTCCTCAGATGACCGAGCTGCATCACTGTTAGCACGCACCCTAGAGACTAGAAGCGGAAACCAACCTCGCTTGCGAGACCTCTCCCAAGCGCGCTTCTCCGGAAAAACACACTGCCTCAGCTCCCTCCGGCATCTCGCACAAGGTGGACCGATAGGTAAACCATCCGGGCCGGTACCCAGGTCGCACTTGGCCTTGCGTTGCCGACAAGGAATGCATGCCTTGTAGGTTCGCTGGTAGGGCCGGTCCGGGCGGGCTGGCCGAGTTCCGTCATCCATGCTGAACGGGCCGTCGCTGTGCGGCTGGATCAGGGAGAACTTGGTAATGAATTCTCCGTAGTGTGGAGAGTGAGTGGATGAATGTTGCAAACTCACTCCGGTCGCTACTGCTAGTACTGTCACCGGCCTGTCTGGCTCGTTGGTCGAGACTCAATTGGAGCCTTTGGAGGTTGCAATGCGGTTGTCGTGGCTGTGGGCTTTAGCCGCCGGTATCCGATGCTGACCGCTCAGCAGTTCAGGCTTACAACAGACGCGCTTGGTCTGTTTATGCAACAACATTGAATGCTGGGGTCAGAGATATTATTCGCAGAATACTACTTGTTTACTACATGTAGGTGCCATATATTGCTAAGCATTGTTTCTACTTGAATGGTTACACACTGCGTGTAGCGGGCCACATGGAAATCTACTTATCTAGCTATACCTCGGTATCCTGCAGGAGCTTGCATGCAATGCACGACATAATACTAATACAATCGTCATTTTATTCAAGCCTCCGACATTGTTAAATTTAATATCGACAATTAGAATAGGTTACTTGCACTAAACATGAGATTCGTGAGGATGGGCTCAGCAGAAGATTCTTTAGTACTAAGCGGCCCATCATCGCACGTACAATACGACAATCATGGAGATATTTCCTAACAGACGGCGATGGATTCTTTCAAAAACAGGTTATTGGCTCCATATGAACACAGAAGGAATTGAATGCAGGCTGAATTTCAAGATGTGAGTACTCAGATGATTATGACGGGGCTGGTCAATACGAAAGAATTGGCGTTCCCGAATAGCTTTAGTTTCAGTGTTATCAGGGGCGCACCACCGACCGTTGTAGCATTGCAGACTGCCGAGTGGAACGGTTTGGCTGTTACTAAATTATCGAATTATGCGCTACCTCTGGTCGATGCGCTGGATGAGCTCTTTCTCAATGCGACGATCGCACTGATGGGTTCTTATCTAGGCAGCATGTCATTTATTCCCACTCATCAAGTTGCAAATCAAGGTTGAGATGCCCAATGCAATGGCTAATTCTCGAGGCCAAATTATGCATCACTGTACACCCCCTGAGACGTTTGTGGCCATCTTTCCATCCTACAGCATCTTGGTATGCTCTCGCTTGATCCTCCGGCTCTCCTATGGAGTCAGCATAGCCCTCACCCTTCTCAGCATTGCCTCTATCATCTCTCCGTCGTACCTATGGTGGTTCTCGCACGAACAAACTTTCTACAATTCTCCGAGTTTCTCACGCCATCTCTTTTTCTGCTCCGGTCATGACCACTGATGCGGACGGCAAAGACCCAACCCCAGACTATGTGAATAGCCTGATCGTATCGTTCCCGGGTGATTATCCATTTGTTTCTGAGGAGGTACCGATGCAGGTCTATGGAGATCCCCAAAAAGCTGTATGATCCCGAGGCAAGGCTATGGATTATGTATCTTTAGAGTCGGAGATGAGGTAGATTATAACGGTGAAACCCTTTCTCGTGCTAGAAAGAATTTACACAGACGGAATAATCTAATAGGTCCCCCTTTTAACCATGAACGAGAAATAGATTGGTTATTATTATTATTAATAGCTCCCGGTAAGAAGTTGTCCGAGTATCCCCGTCCGGCGCAAAGCGGCTACCTCCCCCAGCTCGGCCCCGGAACTCATTCCGCGGTTGTATTCACGCCAACTATAAACCCATACGCCAGTCACAAAGGCTAAACATCTCACCACTTGTCCAAACATGGCCGACATAATCACGCTCTACACCTACTTCCGCTCGTCCTGCTCAGCGCGGGTTCGCATAGCCCTCCATCTTAAGGGCCTCGCCTTCACACCCGTCTACGTCAATCTCCTCAAAGGCGAGCAATCCTCCGCCGAGCACAAAGAAATCAATCCCTCAGGGACCGTCCCAGCACTCGTGGTTAAGCGGGCCTCTGCCAAGCCCGTGACAATCACCCAGTCTCTCGCCGCACTGGAATATCTCGACGAAGCATTCCCAAACACACCATCCCTTCTCCCCTCAGACCCGGAAACTCGCGCTACAGTGCGCAGTCTCGCATCTATTATTGCCTGCGATGTCCAGCCCGTGACGAACCTCAAGATCCTGAAGCGCGTGGCCCCGCTCGGCGCGGATCGGGAGGGCTGGTCCAGGGATTTGATTGAAGATGGCCTGCGCGCGTATGAGGTTATTGCTGCCAAGTCGGCGGGCAAGTTTAGTGTTGGGGATACGATCTCCTTGGCGGATGTGTGTCTGGTTCCGGCGGCCTGGGGTGCTGAGCGGATAGGCGTGGATTTGAAGGCGTTTCCGGTTGTGAATGAGATTGTGCGGCATTTGGAGGAGGAGAGTGCGGTAAAGTCGGGGCATTGGAGGAATCAGAAGGATACGCCAGAGGAATTCAGGGTAAAGCAGTAGGGATAAGGGCTTGATTCATTCCACTATTGCAGCAAGCGAGTTTATGGATGATTGATGCCAGTGATTCGTGTAATTAATTCATTGCGAAGGTTCTATTTACGACCCATCAACGTGACTTCCATTCTTTTTCATTTCATCTCGTTAAAGCTGGAGGGCAGGCAAGATGGTGCCGGCACAATCACCGAAACCGACATAGTTCCCTTCGGAGCCAGCCACGCCGCGCAGAACAACCGTGTCGCCATCCTCGAGGAACAGACGCTCAGAGCCATCCTCCAGCTTCAGCGGGGTCTTGCCATTGGTCTGTTCCAGCAGACTGCCCTGTGTCTTGGGCTCCGTGCCCGAAATAGTACCCGAGCCCAGCAAGTCACCGGTGTTCATATTACAGCCCGTGATGGTGTGGTGAGCGAGCATCTGAGGGAAGGAGAAGAGGAGGTTGCGAGCATTGGTCTTCGAGATGGTCGTAGGCTTACCGCCCTTGTTGGTCAGCTCGACTTCGAGGGCGATATCAAAGGCGCTGGCCGCGTTCTTCTCGCGCAGATACGGCAACAGAGACTCGCGGTTTCCTGGTTCCAGGCCGGTGGTACGGAAAGGCTCGAGAGCATCAATTAGGACCACCCAGGGCGTGATGGTCGTGCCAAAGTTCTTGGCATTGAATGGGCCCAGTGGGACGTACTCCCAGGCCTGAATGTCACGCGCAGACCAGTCATTCATGAGAACTAGGCCGAAGATGTGGTCTTCGGCCTCCTCAATTGGAACAGGCTTGCCGAGATCATTGGGCGTGCTGACGAAGGCGGCAAGTTCCAGCTCAATATCAAGGCGCTTGCACGGCGAGAACGTCGGCACTTTGGGGGTAGCGGCCGGGTTGGCCAGGATCTGGCCATTGGGGCGGTGCAGAGGCGTGCCCGAAGTCACAACCGATGAGGCACGGCCGTGGTAACCCACGGGAAGGTGCTTGTAGTTAGGCTGCAGGGCGTTGTCCGGCCCACGGAAGAGCACGCCAATGTTGTAAGCGTGGTTCAGACCGGCATAGAAATCGGTGTAGTCGCCAATCTGCATCGGGACGTGATTGGTGACCTGCGACAGGGGCAGCAGGGCCGACTGCTGCAGCGAGGCATTGTCTTTCAGGACCTGGGGGAACTGGGTGTCGGCGCGGAAGACATTCTGCAGATACTCGCGCACCTGGCGGTGCACGGGGCGTCCCAACGCCGCGAAGGCATTCAGAGTGGGCTGGTTGAACACGCCCAGGTGCTGCTGGATAGCGGGGAGCTGTGCAAATCCGCCGGACGAGGCGAAAGCGCTCAGGTTGAGGGCATAGTCGCCGACGGCAACCGCGGGGACCCGGGAAGCGGACTGGGCTGAGATGATGCCGAAGGGGATGTTGGCCAGCGAGAAGGGCGAGTTCTTGGGAATCTGGAGCCACGACGCCATGATGAAAAGATGTATTTGTGTGTGTGAACCGTCGGGAAATAATGTTTACAGGCGCGTGGCACTTTAGTACTTAACTGCGGGTTGTTGCGCTCGCCCATTCCGGCACAGCGGAAACCGTCCGCTCCGGGATTGTATGGATTGGGTGCGATGTAAGGAGGCTATGACGCGATTCCCTTTTTCCGACCATCGTATCTGATCGGTAAATAAAATAATAACAAGTGCGATCAGCCTAGAGAATAGCTCTCGAATTATTAATCTAGCAAAACCGACAGTCTCTGACAATTTATTATGGTGGGAAGATGAATTAATCATAATGATGTCGGAGGTGGGATGGGGCGTGTAGATTGCACCCATCTAGACCAAAGTGACCATCATCTCTAGGACAACCCCGCTTAGTCCCGGCAATCATGAATTCCGCGGTTGCGGACATGTGTTGCCGCGATGATGATAGTATTATAGGCGAGTAACAGACGGGCTCAACTTCAGCAATACTCTCTCCAATCATGCCCGTCACTAACTTCGCCCATCCGGATCCCTACGCTTACCAGACGGGTTTCGACTCGTACCACGAGTATGTGTCATAGATTCATCTGTTGGGATCTAGCTACTAACCACGACCAGGACCGAGGCCGTCAAAGGCGCCCTCCCCATCGGCCAGAACTCGCCGCAAAAGGCACCGTATGGTCTCTACGCTGAGAAACTCTCAGGCACTGCATTCACGGCACCGCGCCACGAGAACAAGCAGACATGGGTCTATCGCACCATTCCCGCCGCCGCGCACGAGAACTTCACTGCTGAAGATGCGGCCTCGTATCATACTAGCATGACCACTGAAACGCACAAGCTGCACCACATCCCCAACCAGCTACGCTGGAACCCCTTTGACCTCGACGAGAAAGTTGACTGGGTACATGGTCTGCACCTGGTTGCCGGCGCCGGTGACCCCACCCTCAAGCAAGGCATGGGTATCTTGCTCTATGCCGCCGGAAAGGATATGGGCAAGGAAGCCTTTTATTCGGCAGATGGCGATTTCCTGATTGTGCCGCAGCACGGTGTGCTGGATATCCAGACGGAGCTGGGCCGTATTCTTTTGCGTCCGAATGAGATCTGCGTCATTCCCCGCGGTGTTCGGTAAGAACTCTCCCGCAATGCCTCCGATCCATATTGTTAATCCCCTATTAGATACCGTGTGACCCTCCCCTCCGGCCCCGTTCGAGGCTATATCTGTGAGCTGTACCAGGGCCACTACCAGCTTCCCGAACTCGGGCCCATCGGCTCGAACTGCCTCGCCAATGCGCGTGATTTCCAAGCGCCCGTCGCTGCTTTCGACGACGAGGAAGAGCGCAGCGAGTACAGACTGTACAGCAAGTTCAACAACACGCTCTTCTCTGCACGCCAGGACCACACGCCCTTCGATGTGGTCGCCTGGCACGGCAATTACTACCCGTTCAAGTATGACCTCGGCCGGTTCAACACCATCGGATCGATCTCATTCGACCACCCCGATCCTTCGATCTTCACCGTGCTCACCGGTCCTTCGGACCATGTGGGCACTGCCATTGCGGACTTTGTTATCTTCCCGCCTCGTTGGCTGGTCGCAGAGGGGACCTTCCGTCCGCCGTGGTATCACCGCAACACGATGTCCGAGTTCATGGGTCTGATCTGCGGAAACTACGACGCGAAGACGGGCGGTGGGTTCCAGCCCGCAGGTGCTAGTCTGCACAATGTCATGAGCGCTCACGGGCCGGACTCGGCTGCCTTTGAGGGAGCGAGCAATGCGGAGCTGAAGCCGCAGAAGATCGGAGATGGGAGCTTGGCGTTCATGTTTGAGAGGTATGTTGGCTTCCATTGCTGTCAAGGATGCACTTTGCTGACCCGGGTATTTATTAGCTCTCTCATGGTTGGCGTCTCGGAGTGGGGATTGAAGACCTGCCAGAAAGTGCAGGAGGAGTATAATGAGCATAGCTGGAAGCCTCTTAAGCGGCATTTCGTGAACCCAGAAAAGAAGGCCTAATTGAGATGGCCAAAGATAAGGAAAAGTGATGCGTGTATGCAGGCTCTTAGTGAAATAGTCTAACACAATACGGGATACCTTTGAGAGCCAATCACTAGCACCTCCGATGGTAACGATCGAGAAATATATAAATGACTGGCAAGTGAACTGTTGTAAAAAGATAGACATGTTCTTCTTTGTATATTTTCACAATGCATCTGATCACTGGCTTCTCAGGCAGATCATGCGGTCACGGTTTGGGTTGCCTAAACCTGACCATACTCGAAAGGAATTTGGGTATTCAACGAACATATCCAGTGGATATTCTGTGAGAGGCAAAAGAACGCGTCTCTCGGAATATCGACTTGTTTATCGTGAGAGCTAAAACTAGTCAATACTAGCGTAAGGCCTCCATACCCTCCCTGCCTGCTTATTACCTGCTTACCATATTTCGGCCCTTCTGCAGAAATATAAAATCCGAGTCCTCTGAGGCTCCCCGCGACCCCGCTCCACGCATCTTGGAAGAAGCTATTGACTGCGAACCGATACATCTCAACCATCGAGCCACGGATTCCCCTTGCTCCAACTTGTCAAACCCCATCGACTGAATTCTTGGAATCAAAACAGTTCTGAAAAAAATAAATAAACAAAATGAACATTGACATTGTTCAAGGCAGAGACCTCGAATTCATCCCACCACCCCTCAAGCACCGCGGCGACGGCCTCGCTTTTAAAAACCTTTTCCGCGGTGAAGATGGCACGCCTGAGAACTATTACCTCGCGTTAGCGCGGCAAGCTGACTTCTACTCCCCCCGCCACAAGCACAACTTCGACCAGTTCCGATACGCCGTGCGGAACGACGTCTCCATCGGCCCGGATATGCTACTGCGCGAAGGCGAGCTGTGCTATCACCCCGAAGCCGTGCACTACGGGCCACAGAAAGATGAGGGCGGAGACCGCGATGTCCTCGTCCTACAGTTCGGCGGAGCCAGCGGGCAAGGATATTTGTCGTTTGACCAACTGGCGGCTGCGCAGGCAGCGTTGAAAGAGAAGGGCCGCTTCGAAGGGGGCAGGTACTATGCCGAGAACGACGGTGCTACTTCCGAGGGTAAAGATGGCTATGAAGCGCTCTGGGAATACTTTAACCACCGGCCACTGGTATACGCCGAACCTCGATTCGACAAACCGATCATCGTCAAGCCGAAGGGTTTCGCCTGGAAGCCATGCGCCGGTTCTGGCAAGGGGATTTTCAAGAAGACGCTTGGAGTGTTCACTGAACGGGAGACGCGCGTGCAGATAGTGAAGATCGTTGCTGGGAACGAATGGCTTGTTCGGGCCCAGGATGCGACCCAGCTGCTGTACGTGCTACAAGGGAGGGGTGTTGCATCTCAGCCGGAGGCGGGAGGTATACCGGTGACGTTTGACGAGGAGAGCGCTATCCGCCTGAAGCGGAATTCAAATGCCGTTGCTCTTTCAGCCGATAGGGACGTCGAGATCATGCATTTTATTCTACCTACGTTGTCCTAGGCACAGACAGCAGAAATATGATTTATCGTATATACACTGTTTTGAAGATAGCACTGTGGGCCAAGATATTTAGATGGAAAGATCCACCAGTATAGATCATGTTCAACCAAAGTCACCCTTCCACCTCCTTCCTCATTGCCTCCTTCACAATCGCGCCACACATTTTCGCATACGGATTCGTCTGTACCGCTAACTGCTGCGCAACTTTATTCCCGTACCGTCCTCCAAGAAAGAAATCCTGACTCGCCATTTCCTCGAGCTGATCAGCGGCGAGTCCACGCAGTCGTTCCGGTCCTCCACCGGTCTCTTCTTTCTCTCCCATTATATTCTTTTTCAGTCGCGCCGCTTTTAGTAGCAAATACCCACGGTGCGTGTGTACGTCTGCTAATAGTCGCGCTTGTGCATTTGAGACTGGGTCTGCGGGGGAGCGTGGTGTGGCTAGTGTGATGGCTTGGCCGAGGTCATTGAAGATACGGGTCGCGAGGGGGGAGGATTGGGGTGTGAAGAGAGTGTCGTCTGAGGTAGATTCTGTGTTTTTGTTCTTGCTTTCATCTTGGATGTCTGCTAGGAGTCGCAGAGTTTGTGCGCGGTTGGTGTATGCCGATGGATAGGTCGGGTATGTCTCGATGAGAGCGTCGAAATCGGCGACCGCAGATTCGACCATTTCTCGTGTTGGGCTATCGCCCGATATTTGGCGGATTATTGACGCTTCGCGCTCCTTGAGCGACGCCAAGTCTTGGTCAGAGATGGATACACTTGACGGCCATGGCGGGAGGGAAGGGTCGATCACCACCCCGGATGAGGGCGAGGACTCAGCGTCGAAGAGCGCCTGGAGGACCGCCGCGTCGTTGGTGGTGAGGTGTGGTCTAGTAGTGGTCATTTCGTGGATTGATGGTGGTATCAGAGTAAGTGCGACAACTAAATTCAGTGGTGATGCCGCGACGATAATATGGCGGATATTCTCGGCAATCGGCGGGTATTTCCCAACCTCCGTGGACAGCCGGAGTATGAACCACCAGCGTCACCGAATATCCGAGCCATAGTTCGAATATGACTTATTAAAGGTGCAGTTCTGCAGCCAGATTTAGCTAAGTTCCATCACTAACTTCCATCACCAACTTGTCGCTTCGAGGAATACCTGACAGAGAAATCAAAAATGGCACCCTCAGCCATCTCAACCAGCCCTCCCCCTTCCGAAACAAACGGGACCTCGTCACTGGCGAGCTACCGCGGCTATGACCATATCCACTGGTATGTCGGCAACGCCAAGCAAGCAGCAACCTACTACACAACCCGTATGGGATTCAAGCGGGTCGCATACCGCGGCCTAGAAACCGGCAGCCGAGCAACATGCTCGCACGTCATTCGCAACGGCGACATCACCTTCATCCTCACCTCTCCACTGCGCTCGCTAGACCAGCTCGACCGCTTCGATGCCGAGGAGCAAGAGCTACTGAAAGAGATCCATCGACACCTTGAGAAACACGGCGACGCTGTCAAGGACGTTGCGTTTGAGGTAGATGACGTCGAGGCCGTGTTCTATGCTGCTGTCCGGAACGGTGCGAAGGCCGTTTCAGAGCCGAAGGTCCTCGAGGACGCCGATGGGTGTATCAAGGTCGCTACGATCCAGACTTACGGAGAGACGACACATACGCTCATCGAGCGGAATGAGTATCACGGCGTCTTTATGCCGGGATATCGCTCTGAATCGGGAGCCGAGGATCCTCTGGCAAAGTTCTTGCCCGGCGTGCAGTTAAAGCGGATTGATCACTGTGTTGGGAATCAGGACTGGGATGAGATGGATAAGATCTGCGAGTAGTAAGAATTCTCCCTCCTGTGTCTCTATCATGTCATCAACTAACATCCGTGATCCAGCTACGAGAAAGCGCTCGGCTTCCACCGCTTCTGGTCCGTAGACGACAGCCAAATCTGCACAGAATTCTCAGCGCTGAAGAGTATCGTGATGTCGTCCCCGAACGATATCGTCAAAATGCCCATAAATGAGCCTGCCAAGGGCAAGAAGCAGTCCCAGATCGAGGAGTACGTGGACTTTTACAACGGGGCCGGCGTGCAGCACATCGCCCTCCTAACGGACGACATCATCCGCGACATCACGAATCTGAAAGCGCGCGGCGTCGAGTTCATCAAGGTGCCGGAGACGTATTACACGGATATGCAGGCGCGGCTAAAGAAGGCCGGGCTCGTGCTCCACGAGGACTTTGAGACGATTCGGAGTTTGGATATTCTGATTGATTTTGATGAGGGAGGGTATTTGCTTCAGCTTTTTACTAAGGTATGTGTCTCTCTATTTTTTGACTGGGAGTGAATCGATGACTGATTTCTGGTATAGCATCTCATGGACCGGCCTACAGTATTTATTGAGATTATCCAGAGACATAACTTCTCAGGATTCGGGGCTGGGAATTTCAAGTCCCTCTTTGAGGCTATTGAGAGGGAACAGGAGCTGCGCGGGAATCTGATTTGATGGGGACGGGACAGTTGCTTTGACCCAGATTGGTTCCTGTATTTCTTCACGATTGCATCTAGCGCACCTCTATGTAAATTGCTCAATACCATCGCATAATTTGACCCGAGTACCGTCTCTTTACTTGGCGTAGACAGGGTCGGATATGATGTTGGACCAGCAAGTGCGGTACACGGGCTTTTTCTCCGCTAATCACTTCTTTTTCGATGAGCTGGAACCACCAGGAACGGTTGCGCCTCGCCGTTTGTATTTCCGAGGATCTAGTCCGTCAGGGTATATTCTCGTATCATCTTAGACAGACACGTACCTTTTCGGCTCATCAGCGCCGGGTTTCGGGTCCCTTTTCCACCTTCCCAGAATCCACTGCCCGCCTTACCGACAAGGACTGCTTTGCAGATGCCGCAGGCTTCGGGTCTGTAAATCTGTTCTCGAGAGCAGAAGCCACTGAGATTTCGTTAGTTTATTGCTTACTTATTTCCATCGAGGAGAAATGTCAACATACCAGATCATGCGGTTGGCGTGTTCATTGGGATGATCTGTTTCAGCGTCGTGGCATCTACTATACTGTTAGAATGCCAGTTCATAATAATGTTCTGTCAGTTGTCAATTAATCCATACCTGTCACATGGGAAGACCTTGTCACAACAGCTGAATCTGAACCAGCGGTAGCTTTTCCCGTAATGTTGACAACGGCCACGTCGAGGCAGCTCCTGGCCAGCAACAATACCCAGGACCTCCTTGCGCTGCTATTTGGTCAGTGAAATCTTCAAATATCGTTGACGGGACTGCTGACCTTCTTCTTCATAGGAAAAGCACCGCGGCCAGATACTACGGAGTATACGAGTTAGAATGAAGTCGTTTCAACGCTTGATTTGTTTGACTCACCCGCTGCGGTCCCGACAACCAGGAACTTGACTTCTGGAATCTTTAAGACTATTTTAAGGTTAGCAATAGGATAAATTTTTGTAACATGTAGATGCTCACCCATCTTGCGATGGCAGTGTCGGCAAATCGCCATAGCGCTTTCTCCACGAACGGCCGACACTCCAGGAGAAGGATATACGGTCGAACACTCGGAACATGTTGGAATGAAATGACTGTCCCTAAATTAGCTATCGAGCAAAAAAAGAAACAAAAAGCTCACCTTGGAAGAAGATCCCCTACGGTGCAGCCATCGAGGTCCAAGTAACCAGCGCGATTGGAATGAGAATGCATCAGCTGTCGCCGGAAGGCTGGAATAAACTCAATAAGCCTCCATTCCGCAAAGTAGCTAGTTAATAGACCCACCAATGCTCATAGGATTAGCGCATTTCTTGCACGATTCCATCTTCGGCGAAACATCCTTTTCATCCTTGGCCTGCGGCACATTCTTCACATCGAGGGGTTCTTTGCATCGTTCACATTTGACCGTGATATAGAGATTGGTAAGCTCCAATAACTCGATGCCATACAGCTCCAGGAAAGGAAATGACAGAGCAACACCTTTTCCAGGAGGCTTGTCCAGGATTGCAGGGATAGGTGCGCCGCCATCCTCCTCTTCCTCTTCTTCTTCCTCGAATGAGTCCTCGTCATAACTTGACTCCTCTGTGGTTTCATCGCCACTATTTCCATCTGGAACAGACCATTCAGGCGGGCGCGGGATGACGTGCAAATGTGGTCGGTCTTCTGTATCTGCTGCCAGACCGTCATGGACAGGGGGAGTCTCGGTGGGCTCATGGACAGTTTCTAAGACTGGCAATGGTACATCTTCAGGCTCCTCGGGAAGTGGCGTTTTGGCAAAATTATGCAGGTTGCTGGCCAAGTAGTTGATCTGAGACACCAGATTCAATTGGGAATTCTGCTCAATCCACTGCGCAAATCCCACCTCCGCTGATCTTGCCTCGGTGCTGTCGACTCCTTGGATCTCAATAAAGCTACGTTCCAACGGATAAAGTTGGGGCACTAGCAACTTCACGGTCTTGACAGCTTGAAGTGTTCGAGGTAGGCGGTCTTGTTTGGTCGGCTGAATGGGGACGATGAAAGAGACTCCATCTGGCCTTTTCTGAAACATGGGAAGTCTTCCCAATCGAGCTTCAATCTGCTTGGTCTCGGTTGCCCGTCGTTTCTCAGCCTGCGCTCTTTCTTCGGCTGTGTAGGTGGGTTTCGCAGGTGGCGGTTTTGATTTTGGCGCTTGCGTTGCAACCTTCGGCCCAGCTGTTGTGGTATGTGATACTGGAAGTAGGCTTTGAGCGTTTTCAGAGCTTGTAGCTTCAGTGCTGCCACCGATATTTGGGATAAATGTCAGTTTCGGGCCTCTTTCGAGGGTTGTAAGTAAACGCTCGAGCTGTCTGTCCAGAGACTTCATCCAATTGAGCAGATTCCCTTGACCACTTGTGCGCAAAGTAAAGTCGACCATGTCATCAAACCCTCTGGCAACATTTTCTTGGTATTCGGGGGCCATATCAGCGTTCGTGACCTTCAGTGTGGGTCGCCCTTTTCCTGGGTATGAAGAAGGGACATGAAGAACACATTGCAAGCTGTCCAGCTCAAATGGAAAATCCGGGTCTGATGGAGCCAAGCCAAAGGTCAGAGTTGATCCCAGATCATTGCCTGTTTCTTGCGGGTGGAAGCGCCGCCTCAGCTGGTTGATCTGAAATTCTCTTGGATTCGTCTGTTCAACTTTCGACACGGGCCTTTGAGGTTGGGCAGTACTTGTCGATGGATTTCCACCCACGGTCAAATTTTGGATGTTGGCGGCCACATCTTGGACCGAAGGTTGGGGCTCATCCTCCGGTCTGGACCGCTGTTCAGATGTGATCTGTTTTGATGCCACGGAAGTAGCATCATGAACATACGGGCAAGAAGCGCCAGCACGGCATCCTAAGGGAGTGTCAGCTTCAATATGCTTCGTGAAGACATTGCAAACAACGGCCCCGTGTTATCGCTCTCATGACGATATGGCCCGACTGGCATGCCAGACGTGTATACTTTTGAAAACAACACCAGGCGTATACGAAATACCAGGACAAGTACATACACCTGGTACATCCTGCAAGCAAAAGAGTAAAGGACCTACCCTTTTTGGAAGCAAAAAAGCGGCACTTGATAGGCTTGCGGGGATGTGATTGGGGCGGCCGAGGCGACCTGTCTGGGTCCGGAACGCCTGGCGACTGAGCCGCTGACAAGTCATCACTCGCAGAAGGCGGCGGCTCTGGCCCTAGCATAGTGGTGAGCGTGTGATCAAAAAGGTTGCGGGCCGCGCAGTGCCTGGGGGTGGTGGTGATGGTGGGGGGCGAGAAGACCAGCCCTGTGCGTCAAGGGGCGGAGTGCATGTCCCCGACAGGAAGACGAAAAAAGATACGAGGCGACGACTTACGGTGAGCGTCAACTGACATGGTGAAGGGCGGCAGTCGATTCGGGGGCTGGATTGCCAACGCAGAGATCGGGTGACAGGCGTGGGGCACGTGACAGTAACAAGCGAAGACGTGCAGAAGTGCTGCAAGTGAAGAATCAAGGAGTAGCGGTGGTAGTAATAGTAGATATAGTCAAATGGACAAGATAGTAAATATAGCAGTCGTCTCTGCAGAAACCGCGTGGAGGATCTCATGGTGGGGCCCGCTTAGTGCGGGTCTAAACACGTTTTGACTCATTTTGAGTAATTCTCTACACAACCTCTTACAATCAACAATGATCGATAGTTACTGTGTATGCAATAATAGACAGAGAACTTGACTCATTCGCTTGACGATTGACGATTGAAATTGTTTGATTCCTTTCCATGGGCAGGCACATTTACTCCAGCACCGCGGCCGGCCCTGGACTGCGTGGCAACTACATTGATCTTTATACTTGGAGCTTTACTAGATCTTACAGTGCCTTAGGTACTCGCATCCCGCGCGTTATGTTTGTGAGTTTGATCTGTAACACACACCTATCCCCTGTTTCCTTCCAAGTATAAGAGCCAGCATCAAATTCAAGAACTCTCATGCCAGTCTCGATTCTGGCCACCTACATCTTCGGACTACAAGCCATAGAGCCCAATAGCGATCAATAATATATTCTTCTTGAAATAACCCGCAGAGGTTGTAGCAGAGAACTGTCGCTGGCATAGCTGGGCACTGCGGTGCCGTTGACTTCCGCGGCTTCCCTCGGGATACGCTCGTTGTTAGCATTTGGCATTCCCTGCTGTGCGATGCGGATGCCGTAATATTCTCCATGTGAGTTGAATCCCCTCATCAAAGTAAATCAGTCGCTCGAAACACACTACATGTACGTATGACAAGATAGCCACCAAAGTGAAATATGTTACAGATGACTCCAGGGATGTGCTTGTGGCTGCTTGTGCAGCGCAGCTGGGGACCTCGATATCTGCCTGACGCTATTGGACTAGAAAACGAAAACATCAACAGTATATCTATGCACAACCACCCACCCCTTTCTCGGAACTCTCCGTCATGGACCACATATTAAACCCCTGCGCAACCCTAGACGGTCACTTTACCCTTTCCATAGTTCAGCCGCTACCTTCCGATAAACCCTGCCTTATCTCCCCAACAATAAAGCTTAGTGTGGCGGCCGGAGCTACTACCGTGTTCTCCGTTCACCCGCAGAAGAGGGGTATGTTTTCTAGAACTCTAGCACCCTGGTCACTTCGATCGGGATGCAACATCGCCCCACTGCCAGTATGACTCAGGTGATTTGACGCTGAAGGGATGGCATTTGAGCCTGTTTACACCGACATTTTACTCTTTCCTCTTGCTGCGGGAGGAGTTATGACAACTGCGGCAATTGAGACACGCAGACTGACTATAGCCAATAGTTATGTAGCATGCAAATCAGCGAACGGGGAAGATTCCCCATATTATCGGGATGGAAGGTTCCGAGTGAGCAGGTCGCGGGGATAACTTTATGCTAGCTTCGATAGTGCCTTCCACATGGATGGTGGCCACCCCCCATCGTTTCACCCCCCGGTCTCCTCCGCGAACTTACAACGGCGTATCCAGAGCCCTGGGATTCGGTTTAATATGAACTGAGAGAATATGAAAGGATGTCTGGAGTAACATAGGTCAAGAACGTCGGTATAGGTGTATCTCTTGGTATCAACTATCATCCGAAAGCAATTGTTCCTGCCCCGGACAAGACAGAACAAAAGCATTCTGTTCAGCCAGAGCCATGTGGCGCGAAAAACCCCGAAACAGTGGAAAGTGGAATCCGGTGTCAGGTATGGTCAGGTATGTAATGACTTTCGTACGACGCTAAACCTCTTGCGGTGCAACCGGATCGCCCCTTCCAGAACACTTCCAGAAGCCGCTCGCAAGACCGTGGGTGTGCAGCACTCCTAACCACGGCTGTCTGCTTCGGGATTGTCGGTCGGAAACTCCTTTGCTCCGTTCATCAGCGTGAGCAGGGGATGATGCAATCGGGCTTCTCGCGGTGGTTGTCTGAACCTGTCCACCCTGTCTTTCAACAGAATGGTCTGATTCGCCGGAGCAGTGCGCTCCCAGAAGAGTCGAGACCAGGGCGGGGCGCACGTGATTTGTGGTTCTGCAGGTAACTATTCCGAGAAGCATCAAACAGGATGGAGGGATCCGGATCGGGCATCGGGCTACTATTATTAGTATTCGGGATTGACGTCCAACTCACGGTGTTCAGTTGACCTGGTCTCGTCGGGCTGTAGGATGAGGCAGAAGCAAAAAACTCGCCATTGACAGCGGATGACATCAGGTAAAGCGCGCATAATCAACACCTACAATGAAGGCAATTTTTATGAAGAAAAAAGGAACTGAACTATGCCTCGTAGACAAACAGTATACAAATGCAATCCAATTGACCTAATTATTTGAATTCCGGCTCCTTCTTTGACAGTCAACTGACCCCTACAAAGTCGGGATCGGCTTGCCGATTCCTTCGCAGACATGTCAATGACTTATGGGACCGCAGAACGCGTTATCAAGCCGACAGATAAACAAGGCAGACCTTTTGCGCTGAAAGTTAAAGCAATGCCAAAATATCTAACACCCTGACTGGTCAATTCGCACAAATACGTTGATCTTATGAAGGTACATCCCAAATACAAATATGACCCCTCTATAAACTGAAAAGATGCAATTGTCGTGAACTTACATTGCTTTCATGGAAAAAACACACTCGTACTCGGTGAGACCTGACGAAAACTAAACGCGTCGGAATTTCCGACGAATCATGCCAAGTCCCCGTTTTCTGGCAGGCCCACTGGGAATCCACCGACAAGGTCCAACATAGACAAGACAGGGGAAAGCACAGCTGAGATTCGAGAAACGAGCAAAATCCAACTGGCTAGAACCTCTTCAAGGGTTCTAGCTGCTCCCTTTGGGGGTTTCGTGGAGGTAGCTGAACTCGACTCGACTGCAATGTTACAGGCAAGCGGCTCTGCAGAGCCGCGCTCATACATGGACCGCGATGCACATTGGTTTCTTAGCTCACGCAGTTACCGCTGCGACCGCGTTTATTTAGATAGATATGCTTGTATCTCTCACTGCAGTGGTATTTTCATTAGGCCCCACAACGCTGTTGGGCGTAGTCGGATACAAGCCGAGATGGCATGACAGGCTGAGCATGTACATGTACATGTATGTAAAAGCTCGTGGAGAAGGCAATCCGTAAAAAGGAGACGCCTGTCGGGCGTTTTAGGAATCTGCGATGGGTGTGGGGTGTTCTTAGGTTCTGGAGCACAATCCCGGATCCACACCTCTCGCGTTGATGCAACATAGCCTTTACGCCAACAAGGTCTATTATTGACCAAGGAAAATAAAGAAGGTTCTGCACTTACGTCACTCAGCTATATATATTCTCGGGGAGGAACAAAACGACAGGATGTCTTTTGCCCGGAAGTAGTTACCATACTATTGAAGATGAAACTCACCTACGGAGTGTACGACCGTTATAGACGGTCATGTGCATGGCCCGAAAGAGAACCACATGACCAGCTCTGGATTGGGGGCCGAGGTGGAGCCGGCCGGCTGGTACTATGATGACATCCACTTCACCATGACTGATGCATGATGAGACACCGACGAAGGTGCAGTTACAACATATGGATTCTGTTCGTGGATAGTATTGCAGGTTTCCATATCCGTCGGGCAAGGTAAGCTTCATTGGCAGAAGTTCAAATCAGATCAAGATCAGCTAACTATGACGAAGTCTTAACTACAAGTGGCGACGAATTGGAGTGCAGCGATTTGTATGAAGCTTACACATACGTCGAGAACCCTCCCATAGCTATTTGTGGTGGTGAGAGTATGAAGCCGACGTACAATTGGATTGTAAATATCGACTGAAGATGCTGCTGCAGCCTCACATTTTCCTCATGAGAGCGGTTAACCCAGAGCCATCATGACAGGCTTTACTCTTTTAAGATGTTGTTTATACAAGAGCATGTATGTATGAGATGCGCCTCTCCGCCTCGGGTTCGCTTAGAAAGTCTCCATCGCCGCAGCCAGACTGTGTTGATAAACCAGCACGCGCTCACCATCCACGCGGAAGTTCAATCCGACCGAGAAATGGAGGCCAAGTGCGCATCATTAATCCAATCTGATTTACACCACAGCAACAAGATATGTGGTATGCATTAAGACGAGACCAAGAGTCTTTCCTCGCGTTTCCTTCCTATCTTGCTCTGTCTGCATCTCAGTCCATACTCCATAGACTCCACCCGATAAACCCCGGTGGAGACACCACGCTGTCAAGTCAAGACAAAAAACAAGATGGTGATGAAAAAAGATGTCATAGACCGACATGCAGACATGTGGAAGCGATCAGTGCTGCTAAGAGCTAAAAAAGGGGATCCCGGGTGGGGGGCTGGTTCGGGATCCAGACTCTTGCCCTAGAAGGGCAGGTCGCGAACCAGTTTATGCCAGGCTAAGTTTAGCTCAATCAATAAAAGGTACTTTTGTACCCCTCTCCCTCCGGGCCGGGGGTAGAGTATCACAATCCGCAGGGATGGATGGTTCTCAGCTGACCGTGCCCGATCACCGAAGGCCTGGGTCCCCTTCCTAACCGCCCCGATCCTTTTGGTTGGTTTTTGTAGCACGTCTTTGTAACCCTTTGTCCTTCCTTTTCTGCCATGTCCCTCTTAGGCAGGTGCGGTTTACACACAGTAACTAATTCTACCTGGACTAACTGGTTAGCTGGCTAGAACTGGGATGTAGCTATAGCTACAGTACATAGCTCCCTTCTAAAGCAATGC